ACTCTGCACTTTCACTGCTGAGGGCCCGGGTTCAATCCCTAGTCGGGGAACTAAGATCCCGCAAGCCATGTGGTTCGACCAAAATTAATAAAATCACTTATTTTAAAAAAAAGATGTGGTGTATATATGAATACTACTCAGCTACCAGAAAAAATGAAGTCCTACCATTTGCCATAACACGATGGTTGGATCTTGAGGGCATTATATTAGGTGAGATGAGTAAGACTGAGAAAGACAAATACTGTATGACATCACTTATATGTGGAATCTAAAAAAAGCGAAATAGTAACAGAGAGTGGAATGGTGGTGACCCGGGGCAAGGGGGTGGAGGAAATAGGGAGATGTTGTTTAAGGATACAAACTTGCAACTAGTAGATAAGTCCTGGAGATCTAACGCATAGTATAGTGATCATGGTCGATAAAACTGTATTCTAAACATTAAACCTGCTAAGACACTAGACCTTGAATGTTCCCACCACAAGAACAAATTATAATTATGTGACACAACAGAGGTGTTAGCCAACGCTACAATGGCAATCATACCTCAGTATAAACGTATCAAATCAGTATGTGGTTCACCTTACACAATACTTACACAATATTATATGGCAGCTGTATCTCAATTTAAAGAAAACGGGGTGGGGGGGGACTTCCCTGGCAGTCCAGTAGTTAAGACTCTGTGCTTCCACCGCAGGGGCACGGGTTTGATCCCTGGTGGGGGAGCTAGGATCCCACATGCAGCATGGCGCGGCCAAAAAGAAAATAAATAAATAAATAAATAATAAAAATTAAAAAAAAACAATGGGGACTTTCTCCAAAATACAAGCCGGATTCCATGGAATAAAGCACGCGGATAATAAAATACAAGTTGGCAATAAAATGCAACCAAAACTAGCCACTTTGTATCACTCTGCTCAGAATCATTCCAGGGCTTGCCATCTCAGTCAGATTTACAGGGCTCTGCATCTTCTGTCATTGTATCTCCTCACTGGCTCTGCTTCAGCCACATGGGTATCTTTGCTATGCCTAGAACACACCAAGCATGCTTCTGCCTCAGGACCTTTGCGCATGCCGTTTTCTCTGCCTGGAATGTTCTTCCGCCAGAGATGCACGTGGCTCCTCACCACATCCTGTCCTCTAGTCCTGCTCCGATGTTTCCTTCTCACTTAGACCTTCCCAGACCACCATCCTTTCTAAAACTGCTACACCGCCTCCAGATTGTATATTTATCTTTTGCTGTTTTTTTATTTTCCTTCAGCATGTATCACTAGCCTTGTTATGTATTTTCTTACTAATATTCTTTACTTTCTGTCTCCCTCTAGAATGTATTGCTATTCTAATCTCTAGAGGTTTTTTTTATTTTGGTAGCGTTTCCCATTGTATCCTTGTATCTAGAACAGTAACCGGCACATAATAGATATCCAGTAAATATATATATATATATATATATATATATATATATATATATATATATTTTTTTTTATGCGGTACGCGGGCCTCTCACTCTTGTGGCCTCTCCCGTTGCGGAGCACAGGCTCCGGACGCACAGGCTCAGCGGCCATGGCTCACGGGCCCAGCCGCTCCGCGGCATATGGGATCTTCCCGGACCGGGGCACGAACCCGTGTCCCCTGCATCGGCAGGCGGCCTCTCAACCACTGAGCCACCAGGGAAGCCCTCAGTAAATATTTTTGAATGCTGATAGATGAATAGATACATACAGAATAGGGGAAGTATAGGGAAGCATATAGTGCATTATCGTCGAATACAATTCCAGAGACTAGATTTCTATGTATGACTCTGGGCTCTGCTAGTTATATGTTCTGTACTTTGAGCAAGGTAATCAATCTCTTTGTGCGTCTGCTTCTTCCTCTGTAAATTTTTTAAAGTAATTGTTCCTAGCTCAGAATCACATCAGACTCTCATCGACCACTGTGGAAATTAGAAGATGATGGAGAAATGTATTTGAAAATAACCTACGTACCAGTAAGGAAAGATCCCAGAGTGTATTGTTAGGTATCAAATCAAGGTCAATACAGTATTTATGGGAATTCCCTGGTGCCGCAGTGGTTAAGAATCTGCCTGCCAGTGCAAGGGACACGGGTTTGAGTCCTGGTCCAGGAAGATCTCACATGCCGCGGAGTAACTAAACCCGTGCGCCACAACTACTGAGCCTGCGCTCTAGAGCCCTCGAGCCACAACTGCTGAGCCCACGCGCTGCAACTACTGAGGCCCGTGTGCCTAGGGCCCAGGCTCCTCAACAAGAGAAGCCACCGCAGTGAGAAGCTCATGCACCGCTGCAACTAGAGAAAGTGTCTGTGTGCAGCAACGAAGACCCAACGCATCCAAAAATGAATAAATACATTTTTTAAAAAGTGTTTTGTGTTGTTTAAATAAGTAGAACATGCTATAGAAGAATAACTTTATAACATCCAAAGAATAACTTTATAACATCCAGGACCGAGGAGGAGTTTCCTAGATTCTTTTCCACATTTAGTTTCTCAATCCAACTGGAGTTAATTTTTGCATATGGTGTAAATTAGGAATCTAATTGTTTTATTTTTCCAAATGGACAATTAATGCTCCTTTTTTTTTTTTTGCATCCAATGAATAGATCTTTCCTGGGTACCTGCTCTATGTCAGACATTTGTTGAAGGAATAGCTAGGTTTCTCCTTGTGATTTATTTTGAAAATTGTACAATCAGGTACTTTTATTATTTTTAAATTTATTTTATTGAAGTAGAGTTGACTTACAGTGTTGTGTTAATTTCTGCTGTACAACAAAGTGATTCAGTTATACACGTATATACATTCTTTTTCATATTCTTTTCCATTGTGGTTTATCCCAGGATATTGGGACAGTTAATGGTCTTAATTTCATTCATGAAAGTGTTTCTTTTCTCCACTGGTATGTGATGCTCTGATAATCAAAAATAAATACTAAGTAATTGCTACCTGTAGGGCGCTGAAGGCACAGGCTTAATGAGAACAGATAAGGTACCAAGATCCCTTCTAAGACTGGTGTCCATTCCCATCACCTTCCCAAACACAACCCCAAACCTTTCACTCAAGCAGGAGTTTCCTTTTCGTTCCTCCGCAGCGCCCTCTGCTGCCTCCTGTCAGATCCCACATCACAGAATGCCTAGATAATATGGACATTTCCCACATCTGTCCCCTACCCTAATTCACAAGCAGCTCCAGCGCTGCTTCTTCTCCGTCCCCAGAACGCAACATAGGCCCAGGACAGTAACTGCTAAGAGTCTAAGTGAATAAATCAGCCAGCATTTGCGGTTTTCTCTTTGGCAAAAAAAAAAATTTCCAGATAAACTCACGACTGTTGTGGAATATTCAAAAAATCCAGAACAGCGCACAGAACAAGCATTACCCATCAGTTATACTCCAGAGAGAACCACTGTACTTTGCCTCCTTTTATCCACTTTTTCCCCGTTTTTTTATTGTGGTAAAATACACATAACATAAAAGGTACCATCATAACCGTTTATAAGTGTCCAGTTCAGTAGAATTAAGGACATTTACATTGTTGTGCAACCATCACCACCATCCATCTCTAGGACTATTTTCATCCTGCAAAACTGAAACTCTGTACATTAAACAACCAAGCCCCACCCCGCTTCCTCCATCCCCTGTCAATCGCTATCCTACCTTCTATTTCTATGAATTTGTTCTAGGAACCGCATATAAGTGGAATCACCCAACACTTGTTATTTTCTGGGTATATTTTATAGTAGCCATCCTAACGAGTGTGGGGTGGGTTTTATCCAGGATTAAAGGCTGTTTTAAGATATCAAAATCCTGGGTAAGAGTCCTCCTCTCCTGAACTCATCCTGCAGCCTTTTGATGGGCTCCACGTGGTGGGATGCTTTGGGGCTGGGTTAGGGGTTGGTTTCTGCTTCTCCTCCAGGTTTCTCCTGTAGCTGGATCCCCACCAAGCACAGGGAGATGGGCACGTTGCGAGTTTGTGTCTCCCATGTTTCAGAGAGCTGCTAGAATCCAGGAGATGGACCAGGTTCCTTTCGTGAACATCATCATCTCATTCCGCTCAGACCCTCTTCCGAGATCCCATTTCAGTTCAGTTCAAGTGGGAAAGGGGGAGTGGAATTCCATGCAGACTCAGGCCAGCTGGGTCTTTCACTGCTCAAATGGTTGAGGAGTGAAGGAAGCTGGGCCTCGAGGCTTTGGGTTGGTGGATGCTGGGCAGGGGTGGGGGTGTTTGCAAGTAGGGTGATGGAAATGTAATCAAGTGTCCGATTTATATATTTAACATTAATGATAACAAGGATAGTTAGCATTTGTTAAGCAATTTCCAGGCCTGCACTAGGTCCGTGACACTTTTTATTCCATCATTTGTTCAAAATTGCCTGATACAACTGAAAGGGTTATTGTCAGGTTGGAGGAAGAAATGAGAGGCCAGAGGGGAAATATCCCCTTCACAAGGTCACACAGCAGCTGTGCGGGTGATGGGACCTCTTGCAGATTGTGGTACACAGAAAAATGCTCCCCCCACAAAGATGTCCACTTCCAAAGTCCCAGAGCTTGTAAATATGTTCCATTACGTGCAAGAGGCTATTAAAGTTGCAGGTAGAATCACGGTTGCTACTCAGCTGATCCTGAGGTGGGGAGATGAGCCTAGATTAACCAGGTGGGTTCCATGTAATCACGAGGATACTTATTAAAAGAAGGAGGCAGGAGAGTCAGGGAGAGACGTGAAGGTGAAGGTCGGGGCCACGAGTCAAGGAATACAGGCGTCTCTAGATGCTGGAATAAGGCACAGGAACAGATTCTCCCCAGGAGCCTCCAGAAGGAATGAAGCCCTGCCCAGTGAGACCCATGTTACACTTCTTGCCTCAAGAGCTGTAAGTCAATACATTGGTGTTTTTCTGAGCCACAAAGGCTCTGGTCATTTGTTAAAACAACCACAGGAAATGACTACAGCCCTGAGAGCTGAGAGCAGAGCTGGCGTTTGCACTGATCTTTGATATTTACACCCTCTGCTGGGACCGCTGCACATTGGGTGGCTTAAACAAAAGAAATCTATTGTCTTTAGTCCTGGAGCCTGAAATCAAGGTGTCGGCAAGATGGCTTTCTCCTGAGGCTTCTCTCCTTGGCTTGCAGACAGCCAGCTGTCTTCTACCTGTGTCTTCGTGTGGTCTACCCTCTGTGCCTGCACACGGAGAAAGATAGGTACCTGGTGTCTCTTCCTCCTCTTGTAAGGATACAAGTCCTGTTGGGTCAGGACCCCATCCTCATGACCCTGGTTAACTGTAATCATCTCCTATTTCTGCTTTGATTTTTAGTGGAACTCATCCTGCTTTCATATTCACTGATATTCGGACACAATGACGCTGCTGCATGATAACCTCTATGAGCATGTTTTCTTCTCTGGGAACAAGGAAGTATATGGTCGGTAAGTTGTGTTTTTTTTTTTAAATAAATTTTTTTATTTTTGGCTGCGTTGGGTCTTTGTTGCTGCACGCGGGCTTTCTCTGGTTGCGGCGAGCGGGGGCTACTCTTCCTTGCGGTGCACGGGCTTCTCATTGCGGTGGCTTCTCTTGTTGCAGAGCACGGGCTCTAGGTGCTTGGGCTTCGATAGTTGCAGCACGTGGGCTCAGTAGCTGTGGCTCAAGGGTGCTAGAGAGCAGGCTCAGTAGTTGTGGCGCACGGGCTTAGTTGCTCCGCGGCATGTGGGATCTTCCCGGACCAGGACTCGAACCCGTGTCCCCTGCATTGGCAGGTGGATTCTTAACCCCTGTGCCACCAGGGAGCCCGGTAAGTTTTTTCTAAAGCACGTTACTGCCTTGGGAGATGGCATTATTGTCGGTTCCTTTGATTGTTCTTATTTTGTTGATTGTATTGGGATGTTCAAGTTTCTTGTGCTAGCCTCATGGATTTGCACTGCTGTTGTTGAGGCTAGGGCGGGCCACCCCAAAATATGCCACCATAGACATGTTGTTTATTTTGTGTTGAAGTTGCTGGAGGAGCAGCTGTTGTGAGAAGGACACTCTGACCTGTGTCTCCCTGAAAGTGTCTCTTATACGAGAGGTACCTTCCTGCATCTGGAGGTAGAAGGACACCCTTATCCTCAGAGACAGGGAATTTGGAGCCAAAAAGCCTGTAGAAACAAACCTTGTTGCTTTACTAATTTACTAGCCAAGCCCAAACTCTTTAGATTCTTCAACTAAACATCCAAAACCGAAGTTTCTTTGTACTGTCAATTCCTCACCATTTTATTCTTTGTCTAAAAAGTATAAAAGCTGCCGGCTTTAGCCACTTCTTAGGTCCTATTTTTTTTTTTTTTTTTTTGTGGTACGCGGGCCTCCCACTGCTGTGGTCTCTCCCGTTGCGGAGCACAGGCTCCGGACGCGCAGGCTCAGTGGCCATGGCTCACGGGCCCAGCCGCTCCGCGGCATGTGGGATCTTCCCGGACCCGGGCACGAACCCGTGTCCCCTGCATCGGCAGGCGGACTCCCAACCACTGCGCCACCAGGGAAGCCCTGAGGTCCTATTTCTAAGAGTCCTCTGTGCGAACTAATTAAAATTTGTTTTCCTCCTGTTAATCTGCCTTGTGTCTACTTTATTATTAGTCTAGACACAATTAGTCAACAGGGGTACAGGGGAAATTACCCGCTCTCCGACATAGTTCGGTGTAATTTTAAATTTTATTTCTTTATTAACAGATTTATTGAGGTGTAATTGATATTTTTTTAAAAACTTGCGCATGTTTAATGTATATCATTTGATGAGTTTCGACCCAGGCAGTAGTTTTTAAAGCTCCTTCAAGTTCATGCATTTTCTGTCCATTCTGCTCTTCAGAGCAGCTCATTCCAGGCATTTGCATCTCCCAGTACAGAAGGGGAGGTGGAGGCTCCCCAAGGAGAAAGGATGTGTTGAGGCTTTGGAGAGAGTTGGGGGGCTGGGAGGGCAGTCACCTGGCCCTGGTCCTGGAGGCTGAGGGGCAGAGACCGCCCACCTGCAGCTGCAAAGAATTAACTTGTATCTTGGGCTCCCTCTTGTGGCCGCAGTGGAGAATTCCCTTCCAGGTTGAAGGAAAAATGTTTATTTAGGCTGCGTTGGGTCTTCGCTGCTGCGTGCAGGCTTTCTCTAGTTGCGGTGAGCAGGGGCTACTCTTCGTTGCGGTGCGCGGGCGCCTCACTGCGGTGGCTTCTAGTTGCGGAGCACGGGCTCTAGGCGTGCGGGCTTCAGTAGTTGTGGCTCACGGGCTCTAAAGCACAGGCTCAGTAGTTGTGGCGCTCGGGCTTAGTTGGTCCACAACATGTGGGATCTTCCCGGACCAGGGATCAAACCCCTGTCCCCTGAATTGGCAGGCGGATTCTTAACCACTGTGCCACCAGGAAAGTCCTGGAAAAATGTTTTTTTATCCTACAAATTCATGTCTTCATTCAATAAGCATTTGCTGATCCTCTACTGTGTGCCAGACACTGTTTGATGTTCTTGAGGTCCATCAGTAAACAAAACAAAAATCCCTGCCCTTGAGGGTATTATATTCTTGCAGAGGGAGACAGATGGAACTCTGAATCTATATTGTGTATTGTCTATGTCCCTGGTACCCAGAAGAGGGGCTTAAATACTAGAAGCTTCAATGGCACTCTACTTAGTAAATAAATTGTCTGTGTAATTATGATTGGATTTCTATAAAAGGCCAGCTAATTATGGCAGGGTTCTAGGAATTGGCCCATAATTATGTACAGTCACTGAAGTATGTAGAGTAGTTGGAAGCAACTAGGGGATCATGGTATAGTCTTAGGAACCACCAGCTGGGTAATTGCACCAGGAGCTCCTAGAACCAGCTGGGTAATTAGAGTCCCTGGAATCTTCTGGATAATTACCACAGGCTCATGGAATCAACAGTAATAAGAGAAGGGTCCCAAGTACAGACATCAGGAAATGCTGGAGATGTTTTTGATTGTCACAACTGGAGAGTGATGCTATGGCATCTAGTGAATGGAGGCCAGGGTTGCTTCCAGGCATCCTGCAATGTGCAGGGCAGTGCAGGACAGCCCCACAGCAAAGAGCCATCTGTCCTGTTTTAGTCTGTTCAGGCGGCTCTAACAGAATGCTATATAGAGTGCAATAACAAACATTTATTGCTTACAGTTTTGGAGGCTGGGAAGTCTGAGATCTGGGTGACAGCATGGTTGGATTCTGATGAGGGTCCTGGTTTCCTCACATGGTGGAGAGAGAAAATGGTCCCTCACCAGACATGGAATCTAGCAGCACCTTGGTCTTGGACAGCCTCCAGAACTGTGAGAAATAAATGTTGCCCATAAGCCACCTGGCCTCTTCTGTGTTATAGCAGCCGGAGCAGAGTAAGATGTTGATCAATGCCTGAAAACATTTTATATATACTGAACCCTTAAGTAAGGTTAGTTAGTAAAAGTAGCAGTGATTGTACTCTGATTCGTAGTGTATGAATTCAGAGTCTCAGTCTGCAAGCAACAGAAAATAACTGGTTAGTTTTGGCCAAGAAGGAATTTATTACCAAGATACTGGGTAGCTTTTGGAACGGAAGGGAAGACTAGAGAAATCAAGCTGTGAGAATGGGCAGGAAACAAAGGAGGCAAAGCATCTTTGCCTTAACTCAAGAGGAAAAGTCCCACACATGGGACTATATGATAGGTTGAGCCCAGGACCCCTGCTCACTGTCTACCTGTGATATTGTGGTTTATAGGAAGAAATATAATTTGGTCTTTTTCCCTGTTTCTGTCACAGAGCTCCTAAAACCCTTGGAATTTCCTAAGTGATAGGAGTGATAAAGGTGTCTTGATATTCCTAACAAACCCCTTTCAATCGCCCCTGAATTTGTTAATGAGGTGACTTTTGGAAGCACCTGAGGGTGGGGCTGGTTGCCAGGAGAACCAACCATGTGATTAGAGGGTTGGAGCTTTCAATCTCACCACCCTCCCCCCAACCCCAACTACCAGGGAGGGGAGAGGGGCTGGAGGTTGAATCAATCACCAATGGCCGTGATTTAATCAATCTTGCCTATGTATTGAAGCCTCCATAAAATCCCAAATGGAAGGGGTTTAAACGGAGAGCTTCCGGGGTGGTGAACACATGGAGATTTGGGGAGGGTGGTGCCACTCAGAGAAGAGAGTATGAAAACTCTGAGCCCTTTCCCATGTAAATACTTGGCATCTTTTCCATTGAGTGAACTGTGAGGCACCCAGCTGGGGTCCGGAGAATTGCTTGGTGGTATGGGGAAAAACCCATGTGGGAGTGGGTGTCAAAAACATACTACCTCAAACAGCGGAGACAGCTGCCACAGAGGAAGGCCGAATAGACTTCCCACTAAGGCTGGGACTGCTGGGAGCTTCTTTCCGAAGAAGAGAAGGGTCCCAACTCAGAGATCCGACAGTGACACACGCGCTCTGCAGCACTGTGACTACCGATCCCAGTGACTCCTTAAATAAAACCTCTCTTCCCACACACGTTTTGCCAGGTGCCTGGAGGGTTTTTTTTTAATAACTGAAGAGACTAACAAGACTGAGGGTGAGATGACTGTTACAGGCTGAGTTTTTCCTCCAACATATTATTATGAAAATGTTTCAAACACACGGAGAAGTTGACAGAATGTCACAGTGACTGCCCACATACACACTACCTGGGTTCAACCATTGACATTCTACTCTGTTTTATCACGTAGCTATCCATCAACCCACTTGGGGTGTTTGGGGTGTCTTTATTATTTTTTTAAATTATTTTTAAAATTTTCGGCTGCATTGGGTCTTCATTGCTGTGCACGGACTTTCTCTAGTTGCGGTGAGCAGGGGCTACTCTTTGTTGCCGGGTGCGGGGTTCTCATTGCGGTGGCTTCTTTTGTTGCGGAGTACGGGCTCTAGGCATGCGGGCTTCAGTAGTTGTGGCACATGGGCTCAGTAGTTGTGGTACGTGGGCTCTAAAGCAGAGGCTCAGTAGTTGTGGCGCACGAGCTTAGCTGCTCCGTGGCATGTGGGATCCTCCCGTACCAGGGATCGAACCCGTGTCCCCTGCATTGGCAGGCGGATTCTCAACCACTGCGCCACCAGGGAAGTCCCTGAGGTGCCTTTAAAAGTCAGTTGCAGGGACTTCCCTGGTGGCACAGTGGTTAAGAATCTGTCTGCCAATGCAGGGGACACGGGTTCGATCCCTGGTCTAGGAGGATCCCCCATGCCACAGAGCAGCTAAGCCCGTGCACCACAACTACTGAGCCTGCGCTCTAGAGCCCGTGCTCTGCAACAAGAGAAGCCACCGTAATGAGAAGCCCGCGCACCACAACGAAGAGTAGCCCCCTCTCGCGGCAACTACAGAAAGCCCACGCACAGCAAAAAAGACCCAACACAGCCAAAAAATAAATAAAATAAGTAAAGTCAGTTGCAGACTTCAGTATGCTTCCCCCTGAATATTTCAGCAAGTGCATCATTACCTAGAGTTCAAACTTCATGTTCCTTCTTTTTTGTTGTGTGTTAAAATGTGCGTTCAGTGAAATGAAATGGACACATTTAAATGTACTAGGAGCTGTGTTTTGACAGTTAGATGCCCAAACCACTATCAAGATATAAAATACAGTCACAGTCCCTGAAAAATGGTGGGGGCTGGGGCTGGGGGCTGGAGGGGTGGGGAATTGGTGTTTAGTAGGAACAGAGTCTCAGTTTTACAAGTTGAAAAAGTTCTGTGGAAGGTGGCGATGGTTGTACGACACTGTGAATGTATTTGGTGCCACTGAACTCACTTAAAAATGGCTAAAATGGAAATTTAATGTTATGTACATTTTTACCACATTTTAAAAATGAAAAATTAAAAATGAATAAAAACAAACTTAAGTGGGGATCATTAACTTCATTTTGCAGCTAAGAAAACTGAGGCCAGATCAGGGGTGTGAGTGCCATGGGACTGCAGGCCTATACAGTGAGGGATTTGGGATTTGAACCCACATGTGTGTCCCTCTGAGTTCATCCGTTTTCCTTCTCCAGCCAGTTTTCCATCCTCCTGTGCAAACATTCCCAGCAGTTGTAATAATAATAGCAGACGTAGTGGCAGTTGTAATAGTAAAAGGAAAAATGATAACCAAAATGAGTTCCATCCACTCACCAGATTCTTACTCAGCCGTAAAGCAAAGAAGAGCCGATACATTCCACCCTGTGGATGAACCTCGAAATGTGACTCTGAGTGAAAGAGCCACACATAGAAGGTCACCCACTGTAGGAGTCCATTTCTAGGAAATGTCCAGAACAGGCAAATCCAGAGCGACAGAAAGCAGGTGAGTGCTTGCCTGGGGCTGTGGAGAGGGGAACGGGGAGCGTCTGCTAACAGGTGCGGGGCTTCCTTCGGGGTGATGAATATGTTCCGGAACTAGATAGAGTGATGGTTGCGCTGCTTGGGGAATGTGCTAAATGCCATTGAATTGCATGCTTTAAAATCATTAAATTACTTTTTAATTTAGTTTTTTCAAAACTTTTTATTGAAGTATAGTTGACTTACAATGTTTTCTTAGTTTCAGGTGTACAGCAAAGTGACATGTATATATATCTATCCATATATATACTTTTTCAGATTCTTTTCCATTATGGTTTATTACGGGATATAAAAGATAGTTTCCTGTGCTATACAGTAGGTCCTTGTTGATCTATTTTATATATAGTAGTGTATTTCTGTCCATCTCAAACTCCTAATTTATCCCTCTCCCTCTCCTTTCCCCTTTGGTAACCAGAAGTTTGTTTTCTATGTCTGTGAGTCTGTTTCTGTTTTGTAAATATGTTCATCTGTACTGTTTCTTAGATTCCACATATAAGTGATAAAATATTTGTCTTTCTCTGGCTTACTTCGCTTAGTATGATAATCTGTAGGTCCGTCCATGTTGCTGCCAGTGGCATTATTTCGTTCTTTTCTGTGGCCAAGGAGTATTCCATGGCACGTGTGTGTGTGTGTGTGTGTACGTACCACATCTTCTTTATCCATTCATCTGTCAAAGGATGCCTAGGTTGCTTCCATGTCTTGGCTATTATAAATAGTGCTGCTATGAACATTGGGTGCATGTATCTTTTCAAATTAGAGTTTTCATCTTTTCTGGATCTATGCCCAAGAGTGGGATTGCTGGATCATATGGTAATTCTATTTTTAGCTTTTTAAGGAATCTCCATACTGTTCTCCATAGTGGCTGCACCAACTTACATTCCCACCAAGAGTGTAGGAGGGTTCCCTTTTCTCCACACCCTCTCCAGCATTTTTAAATGGTTAATTTGATGTGAATTTCCTCTCAATAAAAAAATAACAGCTAATGGGCTTCCCTGGTGGTGCAGTGGTTGAGAGTCCACCTGCCGATGCAGGGGACACGGGTTCGTGCCCCGGTCTGGGAAGATCCCACATGCCGCGGAGCGGCTGCGCCCGTGAGCCGTGGCCGCTGAGCCTGCGCGTCCGGAGCCTGTGCTCCGCAACGGGAGAGGCCACAACAGTGAGAGGCCCACGTACCGCAAAAAAAGAAAAAAAAAAAAAACAAGCAACAAGCAAAAACCCAACGTATCTGTAAAGTTATGGAGAGCTAGAGAGTCATTTTTTGTGAAGGTGCACAAACCTTCTTGGGACTTCCCTGGCTGTCCAGTGGTTAAGACTCTGCGCTTCCACTGCAGGGGGCCCGGGTTCGATCCCTGGTCGGGGAACTAAGATCCCGCATGCCTCGCGGTTTGGCCAAAAATAAATAAATAATTTTTAAAATAAATTTAAAAAAACCTTCTCAAAGGAGAGCATAAAAGGATGTTAAAAGCGGGAATAAGAAAAGCCTGGGAGGTGTTGAAAACATCCGTTACCTTGATTGTGGTGATGGTATCACAGTGTTTGCATTTGTCCAAAGTCATCAAATAGTATACATTAAATGCAGTTCTGTGTATATCAATACTTATACCTCAATAAAGCTTGGTTGTTTTTTTTTAAAGGGAATTTCCCCCATCTCTGCCCTTTGATTGAGGTCCCAGTGGGAAAGTGCATAGGTGATAAATGTCTGCCTGTTCTAAAGAGAAGCTTCAGACATGCAGAGGTCCAGAGTGGCACAATTACCCCATCACCCGTCTTGAGGTAAGGTACTCATAAGAGGGTGGGGTTCTTGCAAACGTACTTTGCAGAAGAGAGTGGGCGTTCCTTTCTTGTAGGGTGCTGTGGACTGAATGTGCTCCCACCCCTCAACCCCCAAATCACACGTTGAAGCCCTAACTCCCAATGTACCATTGTATTAGGAGGTGGGGCCTTTGGGAGGTGATTAAGTCATGAGGGTGGAGCCCTCACGTGGGGATTAGTGACCTGGTAGGAAGAGGAAAGCACTCCAGAGTGCCCCCCACCCTGTGTCTCTGTCTCTGACTCTGTCTCCCTCATGAGGATACATCTAGAAGGGCAGTCAACTGCCAGCCAGGAAGAGACAGTGCCCCCTGCCCTTGGAACCTGTGAGTATGGCAAACCATCTTGTTGAGACAGTAGGCTTCCAATCCTTTGGCCTCACCGTGCCTGAATAATAATGAAGTCTATTATTCTAAGACATCTCAGAACCTCCATGGGACAGAGCTGGAGCATGGTGGAACAGGACAGGATCCCCTGAATTTGGGGCTACGGTGCTGGGGTGTGGGGAGGTGAAGCTGGGCAGCTGGCGGGAACCTCCCCTGCTGGCGCCCCCAGCACGCACAGCAGAAGCAGGTTTGCCTGCCACTGAGAACATCCCAGAGGACTGCCGGAGGGGGAGAAGGCCCCGGGGGATGGGGCGCGTGTATCCTGAAGAAGAGAAGGGGCCAGGAGGGTCACGGTAGGACAAGGGCTAAGCGAGTACAGCACAGACGGGGGGTGACTTCAGGTGGTACTGTGATAGGTAAACGCCCACTGCAGAGTCTGGCGTGATCCAAGTTACTTTCCCCTCACGTCAAGATCTGCTGCAGGCGTTCCTGGACGGGCGGACCCTGCATCCCACGCAGGACCCTGCTGCGGGGGGAGGGGGGCGGCGGGAGAGGCAGGCCACACCTGGAAATAAGTGATGCCCATCATCTCTGTGGATACTGCAACGCCCAGAAGCAATCGTGCCCACCAGGGAGATAAATGCCAGTACCTGGTGGGAAAGGATACACGGAATGGATGTGATGCTCACCACCACGTCAGGACGGTCCGCCGCAGGATGCAAACAATCTTACGTAACATCCGCTTCAGTCAGTATCACTGGGCAACCGCAAAACACCCACTCTCTCCATAGATGATGACTTGTTTCTTTGTCTGGTACCCCTTTATCTTCGCTTTCATGCGCCCTCCTGTAGAAAAGATTTTTTTTTCTTAACGTCAATTTTTAAAAATTGAAGTATAGTTGATTTACAATATCGTGTTACTTTCAGGTGTACAGCAAAGTGATTCAGTTATATATATTTATTGAGATTATATTCCATTATAGGTTATTATAAGATAATGACTATAGTTCCCTGCGCTATACAGTAAATCCTTGTTGCTTATCTGTTTTATGTATAGTAGTTTGTATCTGTTAATCCCATAGTCCTAATTTATCCCTCCCTGCCCCTCTCTTTCTACTTTGGTCACCGTAAATTTGTTTTCTATGTCTGTGAGTCTGTCTCTGTTTTGTATATAGATTCATTTGTATTAGTTTTTAGATTCCACATATGAGTGATATCATGTCATCTTTCTCTGACTTACTTCACTTAGTATGATAATCTCTAGGTCCATCCACGTTGCTGCAAATGGCATTATTTCATTATTTTTTATGGCTGAGTAATATTCTGTTGTATGTATGTACCACATCTTCTTAAACCAATCCTCTGTTGATGGGCACTTGGGTTGTTTCCATGTCCTGGCTCTTGTAAATAGTGCTGCTATGAACACTGAGGTGCAGGTATCTTTTCAACTTAGAGTTTTCATCTTTTCTGGATCTATGCCCAGGAATGGGATTGCCGGCTTGTACGGCAACTCTGTTTTTAGTTTTTTGAGGAACCTCCATACTGTTCTCCATAGTGGCTGCACCAATTTACATTCCCGCCAACAGTGTAGGAGGGTTCCCTTTTCTCCACACCCTCTCCAGCATTTGTTATTTGTAGACTTTTTGACGTTGGCCATTCTGACTGGTGTGAGGTGAAACCTCGTTGTGGTTTTGATTTGCATTCTCTAATAATTAGCGATGTTGAGCATCTTTTCATGCACCTGTTGACCATCCATATGTCTTCTTTGGAGGAATGTCTATTTAGTTGTTTTGCCCATTTTTAGATTGGTTTTCTTTTATATTGAGTTGCATGAGCTGTTTGTAGATAAGATTTGAGACACCCAACCACAGAGTTGCCTCTGCTCCCTGACAACACCCAAATCCAGGGCAAGCTCTCTTCCTTTGACCCTGCTCAAAATGACCCAATGAATCTAAAGCCAATTATAGCATCTTTCTAACACCCTCTGTATCGCTTTCTCATGCTGCCATGACAAAGCGCCACAGACTGGGGGGTGTCAACAACAGAAATTTATTTTCTTGCAGTCCTGGAGGCTGGAAGTCCGAGATCAAGGTGTCGGCAGGTTTGGTTTCTTCTGAAACTTCTCTCCTTGGCCTGTAGATGGTTGCTTTCTTGCTGTGTCCTCACGTGGTTGTCCTTCTGTCATGTCTGTCATGTCTGACCTCCTCTTCTTATGAGGGCAGCAGTCATATTTGATCGGGACTCTCCCTAATAACCTCATGTTAACTTAATAACCTTGTCAAAGGCCCCATCTCCAAACATAGTCACATCTGAGACACTGGGAGTGGGAATTTCAGCATATGAATTTAGGGGGACCCAGTGCAGCCCATAGCACCCTGTTGCTTGGTCTGTGTTACCTCTCATCCCAGGATGTGTGTTCTCTCTCACTGTGATGAGTACTAAACCCAGCTTGTTCAACTGCAGGTCTGTTCCTGGTGGTCTTGGGCTGAGCAGTAATTTGCTGCTGAAGAAGGGAAGCAGGAATTCTGGGTGGACTTGAGGGAAGGAGGAAGCGGGGCGGGGGGGGGGGGGGGCTTCCCAAGGATTCCCATGAGACAAAGAGCTATCAGACGGGCACAGCTTGGGAAGGAGAAGAAAGAAAGGCGTGTGTATCTCAGAGGCAGGAAAAGAGAGCAAGGTGAGCGGGCAAACCAGCCATGGGTCACCCCCTCCCTTGGTCTGTGGGGTCTTAGGTCAAGCCTCCGCCTGGAAACAGGGAGTGACTGAGCTGGATGCCAGATGGATGTTTTGATATTAAGTTAGGCTGGACTGTTGACCCCCTGAAATTGGGACAGTTGGAAAACCCCCAGATGGCAAGAAAATCGAGAAGATCTGCTCCTGATATAGCCACGGAGGAGGGAAAGGGGGCTCAGACAGATGGAGTGTGCAGGCAGGGTGAGAACGAATGAAGCTGTCTCCTGTTCGTACCCGTGAGCCTAGACTTGTTTTTTTTTTTTTTTTTTTACTCTTTATCATTTTTAAAAAATGGATTGCTTTTTTTTAAATAAAATTTTTATTTTAGAATAGTTTCACATTTACAGAAGAGTTGCAAGGATGGTACAGAGAGTTCCTCTACACCCTTGGCCCCATTTCCCCTGCCGCTAACATCCTAGATTGCTCTGGTGCCTTCCTCACAGCTAATGAACCTAGATTGATGCCCTGTAGTTAACTACAGCCCATATATTTTTTTTTGTTTTGTCTCTTGTTTGTTTGTTTCTTTGTGGTACGCGGGCCTCTCACTGCTGTGGCCTCTCCCGTTGCGGAGCACAGGCTCCGGACGCGCAGGCTCAGCGGCCATGGCTCACGGGCGCAGCCGCTCCGCGGCATGTGGGATCCTCCCGGACCGGGGTATGAACCCGCGTCCCCTGCATCGGCAGGCGGACTCTCAACCACTGCGCCACCACCCTACAGCCCATATTTTATTCGGAGCTCCTTGGTTTTTACCTGTGTCCTTCTTCTGTTCCAGGATCCCATCCAGGAGGCCACATGACATGTGAGGTCCTGAGGCTCGCCTTGGCTCCGACGGTCTCTCAGCCTTTCCTTGTTTTGGTTGAACCTGACCGTGTTCGAGAGGACGGCTCAGGTATTTTGTAGGATGCGCCTACCTTGGGGTTCAATGGATATTTTTTCTCATGATTAGACTGAGGTCTTGGGTTTAGGGGAAGAAAACCAAAGAAGTAAATTTCCATTTTCCTCACGTCACATCAAGGGTACAGACTAGCAACAAGACGCTGATGCTGACCTTGAACTCCTGGCTGAGGCAGGGCTTGTCGGGTTTCTTGACTACAAAGTTACTTTTTCCCTCGTTTTTGTGCTGTTCCCATGAGAAGGATGTCATCGTGCTCAGCCCACACTTAAGGGGTAGGGAGTTATGCTCCATGCTTGAGGGTAGAGTAGCTACATAAATTATCTGGAATTCTGCATGGGAAATTTGTCTCTTCTCTCCCATCTCTTACATTATTCACATCATTCTGGACTCATGGTCATTTCTCTTTTTTTAACACCTTTATTGGAGTATAATTGCTTTACAATGGTGTGTTAGTTTCTGCTGTATAACAAAGTGAATCAGCTATACATATACATATATCTCCATATCCCCTCCCTCTTGCGTCTCCCTCCCACCCTCCCTATCCCACCCCTCTAGGTGGTCACAAAGCACCGAGCTGAGCTCCCTGTGATATGCAGCTGCTTCCCACTAGCTATCGATTTTACATTTGGTAGTGTATATATGTCCATGCCACTCTCTCACTTTGTCCCAGCTTACCCTTCCCACTCCCTGTGTCCTCAAGTCCATTCTCTACATCTGCGTCTTTATTCCTGTCCTGCCCCTAAGTTCATCAGAACCATTTTGTTTTTTAGATTCCATATATATGTGTTAGCATACGGTATTTGTTTTTCTCTTTCTGACTTACTTCACTCTGTATGACAGACTCTAGGTCCATCCACCTCATTACAAATAACTCAATTTCATTCCTTTTTATGGCTGAGTAATATTCCATTGTATATATGCGCCACATCTTCTTTATCCATTCATCTGTTGATGGACACTTAGGTTGCTTCCATGTCCTGGCTATTGTAAATAGAGCTGCAATGAACATTGTGGTACATGACTCTTTTTGAATTATGGTTTTCTCAGGGTATATGCCCAGTAGTGGAATTGCTGGGTCATATGGTAGTTCTATTTTTAGTTTTTTAAGGAACTTCCGTACTGTTCTCCATAGTGGCTGTATCAATTTACATTCCCACCCACTTTTTTTCCTCAACATTTTAGTATGAAAAATTTCAAACAGACAAAAAAGTTGAAAGAATGTTACAGTGAAAAAAACAAATAATCTAATTATAAAATGGTCAAAGGACCTGAATAGACAAGTTTCCAAAGAAGATATTCAGATGGCAAACAGGTACATGAAAAGGTATATATGTATGTTGTGTGTGTATAGATATAGATATATAGCTATAGCTATATATATATATACACACACATATGCATATATAATCATTAGTGTACACCTTAAACCTACAGTGTTATATATCAATTATATCTCAATAAAGGTGGAAAAAATAAAGACTATTACAGTGAATACCTAGACACCCACCACCTAGATGCTGCCGTTAATATTTGGCTTTATTACATATCTATACCCCTGTCAATCCACCTTATTTCTTTTTTGATCCATTTCAAAGGAAACTGCAGACACCGCTAAATTCCCCCCATACTTAAGCATGCATATCGTTAAATAGAGTTCTCTTTTCCCCCGAGCAAGATTTGCGCAAATCTTAAGTGTACCACAAATGCAGACCTCTTGTACCACAAGTGCCGCCCAAAACCTTATCAAGATACAGAACAATGCCATCACTCCTGAAAGTCCCCTCGGCCCCCTTCCCAGTCAGCCCTGTCCCCACCCTCCCGGAGGCAGCTACTGTTTTGATTACTGTTGCCACCATAGATTAGTTTTGTCTGTTCCTGAACATCACCTAAATGGACTCATACCGTATATACTCACCATCACCTCGTGAAACTGATGCGTCTCCCAGAATTTACGTCACGGGGAGCACGTGTGAGTTCTTTAGCCGGGACCTGCCCTTGTCTTTTGGCAAAAGGGGCTGGTCAGGAGGCCTTCCTGGAAGAGGCAGCATTGCTGCCTCTCTCTGGCTTCCTTCCTGCCTCTCTGGGCTGCTCCTTCTCAGCCTCTTTGTGGGCCCATTTCCCTCCGCTTGCCCCTTCCTCGGCAGTGCTGCTCAGCGTCTGGCTAGACCAGAGCTTACAAAACAGCCAGCATCAGCCCACACAGTATTTTTTTTGTATTTGAATTAGCTTTAACATTTAAAAGCTGAGGGATTTTGCTTTTAAAAGTATCCATATTTCTGTCGTCTCTTGGAAATTTGAAACATCTGGCGATGCTGTGTCCCTCTCCCCACATGGCAAGAATTGGCTGAAACAAAATATCAATAGCAACAACCTGTGCCCTGAGCCCTCCCCCACGCTGGGGGTGGGGGTCCTAATGCACCCAAGCCCTGAATTCACACCTATAGAGTTTGGGATGGTATTGGAACGGTATTCAGCCAAGAACCCTGGAAATGCTCAGGGACCACCCTGGAATAACCATTCATCTTCCCCAGGAGAAGCAGACCCAGGAAACAATAGCAGGAGATCAAGGAGAACAAATCTCTATCAGACAGCATCTCAGTCTCCCATTCACCAACATGATCACTGTCGTCACCATCCTCATCGTCACCTTCATCATATCATTGTCACCATCCACAGCACCATAATCTTCATCATTGTCATTACTGTCATTATCCCTAGGACCATCACTACCACCGTTATTTTTCTCCCTAGTAATGAGATGGGCGACTACCCCCCAGCCCTTTCTCACCAATCGGGAGCAAAATATTGGGATGAGATGGGTGGAGCGCTATCTCCCCTTTCTCCCCCCTGCCCATCACATCCCCCCACAAGGGAGGCCATGTGTGTGGGGACGCCAGGTGGCGAAGTCTAGCCCAGCTCCACAGGGGTGGGGGAACCCCTGGGGCAGATTCCTGGGGACCTTAGTTTTGACTTCAGCAGTGACTGGCTGGGTGGTAACGTTGAGGCAGCCAGGTCCCCTCTACTTCCTCCCCTACCAGTGCGTTTTCAGTGGGTTCCTGTGAGACTCAGCAGAGGTAGCGGCTGGAAAAACACTTTGTAAACTGTAAAGTCAATGACAAGGGCAGGTTGATCCTTGTATACATTGAAGTCTTTCTGAATCAGTTTAGGGAGGTTCTTTAACACATGGGAGGCATCCTTATAAAGATGGGAGGGGGTCCCCCAAATAGATGAGCAAGTTCTTGGAGTGGGAAGAACCCTTCTGCACGTGCCAGGGGTCCTTACTGCAGACATGCGGGTGTACTTTCTGGAGTGCTCTATACACAAAGGGACGTTCGGGTCTAGACGCTGTGTCCTTATACAGATTTTTTTTTTAAGTGGGAGAAGCCTTTTAACCACACGGAGGCGGCCCTTACAGGTGAGAGCGCGCTTACGTAAGTGAGGGGCTTTTATTGATGCAACTCACCATGATTTGTAACTGATCATTATTTGTAAAACGCTGCGCAAACACTAGCGACCTCTGCACAGACACGAAGGTTCTTCCTAAAGATAAAGGGCTCGTTATGCTGTAGGGCGATATAACAGTATGAGCAGCCTTCTACTGCATGTCGCTGTTCAGCCGAGCTCCGTTGGGCCGCCTATGCTAGCAGCGCGGTACCTGCGCGGGGGGGCCGCAGGTGGGAGCCGCCGCCACCGAGGGGGCGCGGGGAGCCCGACTCGCGGTACCGCAGTCCCCCCCTCAGCCGCCAGGGGCAGCACCATCCCTGCCCTGCCCGCGCCTCCCCCCTCCTCCCCAATCTCCGCCCCCCACCCCCTCCCTCCCCCCGCCCGCTCGCTCCCCTGAGCCCCGCCAGACCCCGCTCAGCCCGCGCCCCGCTCCGCTGCCGAGGCTCCCGCAGCCCCGGCGTCCGCCCTGCTGAGCCCTCCCCCGGGGGCCATGGGGACGCCCCCGGGCTACCGACCTTCGGCTTGGGTGCATCTGCTCCACCAGCTGCCCCGCGCCGACTTCCAGCTCCGCCCGGTGCCCAGCGGTTTCGCGCCCCAAGAACAAGAATACCAGCAGGTGGGCGCGGGCACGGGGTCCTGGGGGCGGGGGTTGGGAGCTGGGTGACAGATTCCTGTGTTCTCTGGGGGTGGGAGCCGGGCCGGGACTTTGGGGTACCTGAGGCAGCGAGAGCCTGGCGTTCCCGTACCTGGAGGTTCCCCTGGGAACCTCCTTAAATGCGGGAGAGCTGGGGCCTGGACCCCTGGATCTCAGAGGAGGGAGGGGACTGGGGGCCCTTGGATTCCCGGGTCTCTGAGAGCTGCGCGGGAAGCTAGGGTCATCAGGGGGGTAGGTCCATCATGTCCTAAAAGACGACCCCTTCCCTCATGGGATCAGGGCAATGCAGTTAAATGCGTCCCAGTTCAGGGGGGACCCAGGAGATATAGAGGAGCTGACATGGTGGAGAGGAAGAAAGCTGGAGGTGCCCTGATTCTGGGACGGGACTGAGACCTGAAATGGGGAAGCGGGTGAGGGGTTTTAGGGCTGGAGCTGGGAAAAACAGGTGGAGGCGCTGGGAGAGACTTCCAGCTTGTCCCAGGACGGAAGGGGCAGTCAGTCAGGTCGCTGGAGGGGGGGTGAGGATGAGGTTCGGTTTGGGGACTGGAGGATGACAGAAACGGGGCCAGAGGGTGGGGCTGGGTGGGAACCTTAAGGAAACCGGGGTCCCTGGGGAAGGGGGCCCAGCCTGGGTCAGCTCCAATAGGGGCGAAAGAACTGTCCTCTGACCCAGTTTAATTCAAGTCCTTGACTTTGAGATTAATGAGCAAGGCTTGGCGGAGCTGGGGATGGGGTAGGGGGTGGGCAGGATGGTGGAGCCCTGGGATGGGTCCTGGGCCCTGCCTGTAAGGTCTGAGCCCCTCAGAACTGTCCTGGGGGGCTCCCGGGACAGGGGGCTGGGGATTGGCAAGCTTAGAAGGAGGGAGGTCCCAGGAAAGCAGAGAGGGGGACGTGTGCTGTATTCTGAGCTATTTGGGTCATGGCTGCGCTGAGCCGGCCGTAAGCAGCTCCTCCCGCCGACTCCACGCCGCTCTGTCCCCACCAAACGGGGACTGCCAGCCCCTCTACCACAGCCTGCTGGTTACACAATCCCAGCCTCCAGGGCCAGTCCACGGCCACCTGCTCACGGCCAAGGAGACCTCCCCACACGGATGCCACACGCGGGGTCCCCACCCCAGCCACCGCCAGAGGCACTCAGGGAGGCTCACTCTGCCCCCGTCAACAACAGTCAGGATGACAGTGCTGGGACACACACCCGAGGAGGGGACAGCTGGGAAAATAATCAGGGACTGGGTGCCACCATGCTGTGGGGACACACACACACACTCTCACACATGCATTCACACTCACGCACATATACACACATATACACCCACATACAGATACATGTATACACACCCATATACTCACACATGTATACACACACCCACACCTTCACATTTACACACATATTCTTGCACTCATACAAATGCTCACACACATGCGTCAAGTATACACACATTCACACACTCATATGTTCACATATACACACTCACACATACATTCACACACTACCTCGTTCCCTCTCTCTCTCTTTCCCCCCCATACCCCTCTCGCCCCTGCTCTGTGTCTTCACTCTCCCAGCCTCCCACTGCCCAGCTCTGAGTTGCACGAGCGTGCGCACGTGTGCACACACGCACGCACACAGTGTCACGGAGGCTGTCATGCCCCCTCCCCCTGAGTCCCTGGGTGACAGACTCACACTGCGGTGGGTGTGCAGAGCTCAGCATCAGGGGAGAGGAAGCAAACAGTGAGTGGGGAGGACCAGCGTGGGGGAGGGGGGAGGGAGTAGGAAGCCTACCACCCCCAACCTGGCACACATCGCCAGGAACAGGTGCCCCCTCCAGACCCCCGATCCCACAAGAGTTTGGGGTCCAGGTCTTGGCATGTCCTTGGATGGTGCTTCATTCCAACTACCTGGTTTTGGTGTGGAGGAAACCGAGGCTCAGAGAGGGGAGGGCCCCTGCCAAAGGTCACACAGCCTTTGGAGGGCAGAGCAGAAGTTGAACCCAAGACTTGGGCCTCCCAGTTGGAAGCTCCCTCCAGCCCCAAGTCCCAGAGCCCTGGCTGCCAGCCTGGGAGGGGCTGGGAATGACATCTTTCCTCACAAACCTGAAAACCACGGCTTGGGCTCGGCCCCCCAGCTAGCCAGGGGTGCCTTCCACCTGCACTGAGATCCCAAAGCCAGAACCTTCAGACACACAGGGAGGGAGCCCGGAACCCCTCTGATGCCTGATGTCACCCCCTTCCCCAGGCCCTGTTGCTGGTGGTGGCCTTGGCAGGCCTGGGCTTAGGCCTGAGCCTCATTTTCATTGCTGTCTACCTCATCCGTTTCTGCTGCTGCCGGCCCCCAGAGCCGCCCGGGGCCAAGAGCCCTCCGCCCGGGGGAGGCTGTGTCACTTGGAGCTGCATTGCTGCCCTTCTCGTCGGCTGGTAATGGGGCCCCAGGGTGGGTGGACACTGGGGATGGGGCTCCCCAAGCTCTCTATCAATCAGTCTTCCTGGTGGTGTCCCAGCAGGGGAGAATTGCTCCCATTTGATGGATGGAGAGACCAAGGTCCAAGAGGAAAAGTGACTTCCCAAGGGCAGCCAGCCTGGCAGGATGGTCTAGGGGTTAAAGGCTGGGCAGTCAGACTGCCTGGGTTTGGTGGCTGTGCCGTGGAACAGCTGTGTGACCTAGGCGAGTGGTATAGTTTCTCCAGGCCTCGGTTTCCACATCTCTAAAATGGGCACTGTAGTCACACCCACCTCCTGCTTGTGGTGCGATTAAATGAAATGTACAGTGCCTGGTTCACAGCTGGACGCCATAAATGTGAACTAGGGATGTCATTCATTAACTCATTCATTCATTCAGCAACTATTTCCTGAGTACCTACTATGTGCCAGGAAATACTGACTAAGCCAGACATGGTCCCTGCCCTCGTGAAGCTGATGTATCCCGGTCAGGGACAGTAAAGGGATATTTACAATCCAGGAGCAGCCCTGAGCTGGTCTAACTCCTTCCCACGGTAACCCTGCTGGATTCAGAGTTGTCACAACCAGTTTCGAAGAGGGAGGCTCAGGGAGAGGCAACCTTTCGAGGCCAGGTGGGCCAAGTGGAGATTCAGACCCCAAAACCCCTAGGAGCCCAGGGGCCACCTTCTGGGACACCCTCAGGGGTGGGAGAAGCAGGGCACGTGGGGCCGCGCCATTTACCAGGAGCCAGCTCTGGGCGCAGCCCCTCCCCTCAGGGCAGCACCCACCCCTCAGGGCAGATCTGGGCGCTCAGGACTTGCCCCCGACCTGGGGCTTGGGGGCGGGGAGGGCGGCAGCGGCGGAAAGCGGCTAGTCCCACCCCACCCCCGCCAGCCTGGGCCGCGCCACCGCGGGGAGCGTGGGCGTGTGGAGGTGGAGGTGGGGGAGGGGCTGGGAGTCCCAAGGTGCTTCCTCTTCGCGCTCTCCCGCATGGAGAGGGGCGGGGAGGTGGACAGAGGCCCTGTGCGGGAGAGGCACGGCCAGCCCCCGTGGCCGGGAAACAAGAGCAGCTTTGTAGCACTGTGAACAATGGGTGCGGGCGCTGGAGCCAGCGCCGTCACATCCCAGGGCAGGGGGCGGGGGCCTGCGCAGCGCGGGGCTGGGAGCTGTGAGGGCGTCGGGGCGTCCGCCGCCCCGCTCCAGGCCTGGCCCCCTCCGCGGAGGGACTCAGTGTGTTGCGGGGGGTGAGGCAGGGGGCCCGTATTCAGGCCCCACAATGGAGCTCTGTGTGCCGGCAACCGAGGGGCGGGGGCGCCCGGCTTCTGGCCCGTTGGGCCCACATTCCCTCGCTTCCCTCCCAGCCGTCCAGAAGCTTGGCTCCTGGGGGTGGGGGGAGACTGGGAGCTCCAGGCTTGGGGTCCCCCAGGAGGCGGGGGAGGGGACGGCTGCATCCTGAAGGGACAGGTGCTGAGGATCCCGGATACTTGGGGAAAGGGTGGAGGGCCTGGGTGCGGGCTGGCAGTCACTAGAGGGGAGGACCTCCCGTCCTGGGGCTGGGCATGGCAGGGTTTCACTCCGGGGAGGTGCGAGTTAAATCTGGGGGCCTGCTCCCCTCCACCTCTCCACCCACCATTAGCATCACAATGACGTCCCTGGGCCGGGGGAGTGAGACCTTCCCGTTACCTTGGCAACTGGTGGGGGCCAGGCTGGAGACGTTCCTTTCCCACGATGGGCCGGACCAATGGGATGGGGTGGGAGATGGGATTGGGTGTGTGAGGAGGTGGGGGGGGGGCGTGGCGGCCCCCAGGGTCCCAGGACCGGTTGTGATTTCCCTTCCCTCCTCCTCTTAGCACTGGCATTGGCATCGGTTTCTATGGCAACAGCGAGACCAGTGATGGGGTGTCCCAGCTCAGCTCTGCACTGCTGCATGCCAACCACACACTCACTGCCATTGACCACCTGGTGAGGGGCCAGGCACTGGCCAGACCCCAGACCCACACCCAGACTGGTTCCCCACACCTGGGCAAAGGGCCCCCTCCCAGGAAAACAGGATCTAAACTCAGAGCCAAGACCTCAGACTCAGAATGTCAGGTTCCAACATGCAGATCTCAGACTGTATGCCCAGCCCCCAACCCTGACTACAGATTAGGGCTTCACACATGGCGCCATCAGAACCTTAGCCCAGATCTGGGCTTCCAGACTCAATCACACGCAACCCCAGCCTTGGACTTCAGCTCACAGCCCAAACCATTCAGAGACCAAACACCAAAACCCAGCCCCTGCCCTCAGGTCAGACCCAGGACAGAGACCGGATCCTTGGCCCAGGTGCAAGGTTAAAGACCTCAGCGCTCAGACCCAGGACTCAGACGAGAAGCCTCACTCGCATCCCCAGCCCCAGGATGCCAGACCCGGCGCTGAGACCCAGCCCAACCTCAGGCCTTAGATTTCATGTCCGGTTGCAACCCTGGAACCCAGACGTGAGACCCCAGACTCAGGAAGGCAGATGCCAGGGTCAGACCTAGGATCCCAGACTTAACCTCAGTCCTGGAGCTCAAGCCACTGACCTCTCCGAGCTCCTGACAGAAGCCACAGAACTGCATGAGCTGGACCGCAGAGCCCCTTCCTTCCCTTCCTCAATCCTCAGATGCCCTAGTGCCCAGATCTCAGATACCCACCCCTGCTCACTCCTACTTCGCCCCCCACCCCAACCCTGTCGCCCAACCCCTGGCCGCCCCAGAGAACGCCCTCCCCCGACTCCAGGCCCACCCCTGTGCGCAGGTGTTGGAGATGGTGGAGAGGTTGGATGAGGCCGTGAGGACAGAGCTGACCACTCTGGAGGAGGTGCTGACGCAGCGCACGGAGCTGGTGGCGGCCACCCGGGGGGCTCGGCGGCAGGCGGAAGCCGTGGCCCAGCAGCTCCAGGGGCTGGCCTTCTGGCAGGAAGTGCCCCTGAGCCCCGTGCAAGTAGCTGAAGATGTGTCCTTTGTGGAGGAGTACAGGTAGGTGACCGCTCTATCTGCTCCGTGTGGCAGGGAACCCCTGCCTGGGTGATTGTGCCCCCAGGGGACATTGGGGGACATATCTGGGGGTCACAACTGGGGGAGGGGATGCTACTGGCACCAGGTGGGCAGAGACCAGAGATGCTACTGAATATCCTACAGTGCACAGGACAGCCCCCAACGGCAAAGGGTTATCTGTGCTAAGTGTCAGTAAGTGACAGCAACCCTGGCGTAGCGAGACGGACCGAGCGATGGCGTGCCCGCTCACGTGTTCATCCGTTTACTCCCTCTCTCAATGTATTCACTCCTTCATTCATTCATCCTTGACTCAGCCATTCATCAAGTCACTCTTGCACTTCACTCACTGAATCTCAGACTAACCAGTTCACTCCCTCGGTTGTCCAGCTGACGCGTGTATCCATTCAACAGATACTTATTTACACCTTCTGGTGAGAGAGGTGTACCCAAATGGTCAGGACCATGAGCTCTAAAGCCAGACGGCCCTCCCTAACCACGTGATCTTAAATAAGGTACATACCAGCTCTGTGCCTCAGTGTTCCCATCTGGTACCCGTGGGAATAATGGGTAGCAATACCCTCATTGGATTGTGGAGGGTCTGTTGAGTCATTATCTGTCAAGTGCTTACAGGGGCGACCAGCACACATTATATATGTGTTTGTAAAATATGGGGTTTTTTTAAGATAGAGCGGTGAACAATGAATCCTGCCTGTCTCACGGTGGGCGGACCAATAAGAAATGCATGAATGAGATATTGTCTGTAAGGTGGTGAGTGTTAAGAGCTCTGGAGAAGAGTAGGTGGGAGACGGGAACGGGATGGTCTGGAGACAGAGGATGGCAGTTTTGGGAGTTGGGGGGGGTCATCCGGGAAGGCCACACTGAGAAGGTGACATTTGAAGGACATCTGGGACGGCCATCTTTCCCAGCAGCCAACATGACGGAGTGTCCTCATTGCTTCGTCCACGAGGAATTATTTCTTTTGTTCATCCGACAACTGAGGGTCCCAACCAGACATGGGAGCAGAGACAGGGAAGACTTGGTCCTGGATTCTGTGCTCCAGGAGGGCAGGCACACCTGGGCTGAAGGAGTCCGCAATGAGGAACCCCCCTGCAGGGCATCAGACAGGCCTGGGTCCCAGTGAGTTCAAGTTCTGGGTTCTGGCCAAGCTCAGGGGTGCAGGCCCTGGGCCTCAGCCCTGTTTCAGCGGGGGCTGAGGGTAGCTGTGTGGACTATACCTGGGTGAGGCAGACCCATCATTAACAGGAAATAGCCTCTGGATTCACCAATACAAGAGTGCCTGACACTTGGGAGTCCTTCAAGGAACATGGCCGGCTTCCTGGAAGGAAATCGGGGCCCCCAGCGGGAGAGCTTTGCTGGGGGAGTTCTTGGTGGCTTAGGGCAGAAGTGCTACCTGCCCCTGAGGGAAGTGAAGTGAAGCTGGGACACACAAGCTGGCGGTGGGGACATGGGGAAAAATGGCCTGGAGGTCAGCTGGAGCCACTGGGTCCAGCTTCTCCTTTCCGGGGACAGCCTGACCAGCCAGCAGTCCAGGAAAGAAGGGCACAGTGAGTCCCCACAGGGGTCTGAGCAGAGGCTGCCACGGAGGGGGGTGGCCGTTCCCTTGCCGCTCTGGCGACGTGGGGATCGCTGGGAGCGATGCTATTTATTGAGCATCTCCTAAGTGCCAGGCGCTGTGCTGCGGCCTCATGTACAGATGTACAGATGCGGCCTCGTGTACAGATTCACTCTGCAACCAGAGTGAACTGACCGTTAGCTAATACTGAATCCTTACATGACATTGAAAGTTTCCTGATTCGTGTTCAAGCTGATATTTAAGTGCGTCCATACTGGCGCTCTTCTCGGTGCTTTGTGTGTCTCTACTCCTTAGCCTCACGACAACCGCCGAGACACAGGAGGCAAGGTTACTGAGACCAAGTTGCAGGCAGGCAGGAAGCGGAGGGGCTGGCATTGCGACCCAGGCCGTCTGCCTGCAGACACTGAGCCCTTGGGTCGTGCCCTGTGTTGCTGAGTACATGCCTGGGAATGAGTCTCTCTGCCCTCCAGGCTGGAGTGGAGGGGCTGGGGCCCTGAGAGCGTGCCACTCACAGGGCTCATGCGGGGTTCGGTCAGGGTACAGTCCTGGGACCTGTGTTCTAAATGGCTCCAGTGGCCGGCCTCCCAATGCACCCACTTCACAGATGGGCCTGGCTGTGGCCTGGAGACTGGGCCTCAGGGAGATCACGTGTGCAGGCAGAGCCGGGAGAACGGGCAGGTGCTGTCACCCTCTGCCGAGTCCCAGTCTGGGAGCCTGGGCCCGTGAAAGGCTGGATTTGCTGCTTCAGCCTCAGCCCCGTCACCCCCTTCCCAGGTGGCTGGCCTACGTTCTCCTGCTGCTCCTGGAGCTGCTGGTCTGCCTCTTCACCCTCCTGGGCCTGGCGAAGCAGAGCAAGTGGCTCGTGATTGTGTAAGTCTGGGTGGCTTCCTGGCAGTGGCACATGTCACTGAGATCCCACAGCGCTCTTCCGAGAGGGGCCACGGTCCTTCCCAGGTTTCATTCCCTGGTCCCACGAACCTCCATGGAGTTCCTGGGCTGGGGTGGCACATAGAAATCAGGCTCAGAGCTGCCCAGGAAGGGGGCGGGCAGGAGACAGACTGTCCTCACAGCAAGAAGTGCCCCAAAGTCCTAGAAAAGCAATGATGGCGATGCTTGTGTTGAGGATTGGGGTGATCACTGACCCTCTCGGTTGCTATGACAACCCTGTGGAGGAGGTGCCTGTCAGATGCCTACTGGAAGATGAGGGCTCTGAAGCAGAAAGCTATCACGTGGCGTGGCGGAATTAAGGACCACCCTCTTACTTAAAGGTTCATTCTGTATGCCCGATGCTCTTCTGGAACCCTCGCACTAACCCTATGAGGAGGCCCTTTCCTTCTCCCCATATAACAGAAAGGGAGACTGGTGCTCAGAGAGGTTAGGCCTTTTGCCCAAGGCTGCACAGCCAGAAAGTGCTGGAGCTGGGATTCCACCTAGGCCAACCTATTCCACTTGGAGGAGCCTTTGTATCCTCCCTGGCCCTGAGGGGGGCCACGCTTGTGCCCGCCACCATTCCCACACTCCCCCCGGGGTGAGAGGTCCTGCCATCCCATCCAGGCCGCCCTGAAGCTTGAAGATGGTAAAGCACAGTGGGCAGGGCAGCTCTGGGGCTCGGGGCCAGACCTTCAGTTTGGCTCCCTCCAGGTGCCCTTCTTTCTTGCTGACCACCCTCAAAGGCTGATTCCCCCCCCGACCCGAACCCCATCCCCAGAGAAAACCTGGAAGGCAGTTTCAGCCCTGGAGCTGTCTCCACTCCTGGGAGGAGGAGCCTGGGCTGAGAGGGAGGCCGACCAAGCAATGGGTGAACCTGGGAGCAAGGTCCTGCGGAATTCAGAGCAGGGAGATGGGGCCCAGGGGTGGGCGGTCCGGAGCAAGGCGGGAACAGACGTGGGCTGGATCCGGCCAGCCCTTCACCCCGTATCCTCCCCCAGCAGGGCCAGATGTTCAGTTTGACGTCAGCAGCCACTGGTCCACACCTCTCCCCCAACAGCTTCTCTGCCCCTAGTTGTTATCCTCTTGGCTCCAGAGGTGGGTGGAGGGTAGGGCTGGGGCTATGATGGGATTAGGGGTGGGGGAAGGGAAGAGGTGAGGTGGGAGATTAAGAACCCCAGAACCCCCAAGTCCAATCCCTCCTCCCCACCGTAGGATGACGGTGATGAGTCTCCTGGTTCTTGTCCTTAGCTGGGGCTCCATGGGCCTGGAGGCAGCTACGGCCGTGGTGAGTGGTGTGGGACAGGCCCTTGGGCTCCAAGATTTAAGGGTGCCAAAGGCCCCTAAATCCTGGATCCTGGGGCAGGATGGGAATAAATGCCTTAGGTCCTGAGAGGAAAGACTTGGGGGCCAGGAACACAGGTTCTGAAGTTTCCAGCCAGTTTCCTAGGTCCTGAGGGCCTGGACTTCTGGACACTTGGGTCTGAGGGAGGAGGGACTGGGGGTCTGGACTCCTGGGTCTGAGGGAGGGGTGGCTAGAGCGCACTCAGTTCTGTGGGAGTGTGGAATGGGGGCAGTTTCTGTTCTGAGCCCCCTTTCCTGCTGCCCCTCTCAGGGCCTCAGCGACTTCTGCTCCAGTCCGGACACCTACATCCTGAACCTGACCCGGGAGGAGACTGGCCTTGGCTCAGGTGATCGCATCTCCAGGCACACGCCCTGGGTCCTCGGGCCTCTCTGCGCGGTCCTCCTGGGATGGGGTGAGGGTGAGGGTGAGCAGCCGGCTGCCAGGCCCTGCCCAGTTCTGCAGAAGCTCTCGGCACCTCCCCTGGTGCGCCGGAACAGAGGGAGGGATAAAGATGATGGAGTCAGGAGAAAGGGGTCCTCAGGCTGGAGCTGAGGGATGGGAGGATTTGGCCACTTGGAGAAAATGGGGGGAGCACAGTTGAGTCAAGGGGAGGGTGGCAGAAGCAGGGGCTCCCCGGGAGTGTGTAGATCAGCATGTTTCTGGCTGTGGCTGGAGCAGAAGGGATTAGGGGCTGGGAGGGCTGCCAGTCTCAGAATGCGAGGTCATTGGGACCACAGGAGGGTCCTGAGCTGGGAGGGGTGGAAAGTGTGGCCCTGCCCCCTCCCGCCTTTCCCCAGGGAGGCCCCGGGGCTCAGGCTCACAGCCTCCCCCCTCTTCCCCTCTTCCCTTGCCGCTTCAGACATCCTGAACTATTATTTCCTCTGCAACCAGGCCGTCTCCAACCCCTTTCAACAGGTTAGGGCTGCGGGCAAGGGAACCGGGTGGAGGAGGGCGCGGCTGGGGCCTAGACTTAGGGATGCTGGGGGAGGATGAAGGCGCCAAGTGGGCTGGGGGTGTCAACCGCTGGGTCCTCCTCCCTCCTTCTGGCTTCCCGCAGAGGCTGACTCTGTCCCAGCGAGCTCTGGCCAACATCCACTCCCAGCTGCAGGGGCTGGAGCGAGAAGCTGTCCCCCAGTTCCCTTCTGCTCAGGTCGGCGGGACCGGGTGCTCCTTCTGCACCCCGACTCCCAGGGGAAGGAGGGGAGGGAACCTGGGTGTGTGGGCAGAGCCTTAGAAAAGGGGCGGTGCGGTGGCTGTGGGCCGGGGTCCGCAGAAGGGGGCGGGGCGGCAGCTGTGGGTGGGGCCCTGGCTTTGTGAGCCCGCCGAAAGGGGCGGGGCCTGAAGAGATGGGCGGAGCCTGAAGAGTTCCTGAGATAACAACCCCCTGCCACCGCAGGAGCCTCTGCTGTCCTTGGAGGAGACGCTGAATGTGACAGAAGGAAACTTCCACCAGTTGGTGGCACTGCTGCACTGTCGTGGCCTGCACAAGGTGACCCCTGTCGCCCTCCCCGAATTCTTCTCGCAGGGGAGCCTCTGTCTAGACCCAGAAACCTAGGAATATCCTTTCTGCTTCCTGTTCATTCCTCCAGCAAGTTCTGCTGGCCCTTCTGAAGCCCGTCTGGGCTCTGAGCACAGCTCACACTGTCACCGCTGCTCCCGGCCCCAGGGCCTCTTCCCTGTTCCCTGCTTGCCTGCCTCCATCTGTCCTCCGCACAGCAGCCAACAGCCCAGTGAGCCTTTAAAGCACAATCTGATCTTCCTGCGCTTAAAACCCGCAGTTACCCCTGCAGGCGGATTAAGGTCCTGGCTTCTCGCCTGACCTCGGGGGCGGTTTCGGCCTCAGCCCTTTGCTTCGCCCTAGCCCGCACCCCTTCCCCCAGCAGCCTTGCGGGTCTCCCAGACAGCAGTCCCCCACCTCCCATCGGCCGGGTTCCTTCCTTCTGGTGCCATCTTGCTGTCGGGACCCCAGTACTGCTTTCCAAACCCCGGTCTGAAGCGACCTTCTGGGGCCTGGTTGCTGAAGTTTCCCCGGTACTTGGAGCAATGCCTGGCACAGAGCAGGCCCTCGGCCAGCCCCTGCTGAATGACTTATGGCTGGCCATTCAGGAAATGGTGCTTCTGCCGATTTCCGGGGATGACAGTAATGTCAGCCAGTGTTTACTGAGTGTGCGTTATGTGTAGGGGGCATTTCTATACCAGTTGTTCTTCTAAGCCTTATTCTCAGTCTTGTTCTAAGCCAGCGATTTCGCCCCAGGGGATGGTGGCAATGTGTGGAGACATGTTCGGGTGTCACGGCTGGGGGAGGGGGTGCTACTGGCATCTCGTGGCTGGAGGCCAGGGCTGCTGCTCAGGGACCTGCAGTGCAGAGGCACCACCCGCTGCCACCCCGTTCAGCACACACACAGTGATCTGCCCCAATGTCAGACGTGTCCAGGTTGAGATGCCCGGCACTCAACCAAGGCTGAGCTGCTGTGGCGTCTGGGCGTGGGGGGTGTGAAGGGAGGGTTCTCGGTGATGGAGAGGAAGCCGCAGCTTGGGTTCCTGCTCGCAGGTGTGACAATGACAATGACCACAGCGCCTACCCTGTGCTGAGCGCTTTCTGCGTGCCAGGCCCTGTGCTGAGCATGGGCGACCGGGGAGGAAACTGAGGGACTTATTCAACGTTGCACAGCCAGGTGCACGGTCTGAGCCGTGTGCATTGCCCGCTGACGCCCTCTCCCCCCCGCCCCAGGATTATGGCGCAGCCCTGCGGGGCCTGTGTGAGGACGCCCTGGAAGGCCTGCTCTACCTGCTGCTCTTCTCCCTCCTGTCTGCGGGGGCCCTGGCCACCGCCCTCTGCAGCCTGCCCCGCGCCTGGGCCCTCTTCCCACCCAGGTCAGGAGGGGAGGGGGGCAGGCTCTTGGCGGAGGGGATGGGGGAGAACCACTGAGCCACTGTTAGGGGGCAGCCTCCTGATGGACCCCCATCCTGTTTCTCTGTCACTCCCCCCCTTGCACCCCAGTGACGACTATGATGACACAGATGATGACGACCCTTTCAACCCTCAGGTATTGGACTCCTGGGTCTGAGGCAGGAGGGGCTGGGGGCCTGGACCCCTGGGTCTGAGGGAGGAGGGGCCGGGGACCTGGACTCCTGGGTCTGAGGGAGGAGGTGCTGGGGGCCTGGACTCCTGGGTCTGAGGGGGGAGGGGCTGGGTCCTGGACCCCTGGGTCTGAGGGCCCACACTACAAAGCCAGATTCCCTAGTCATGCCCTCTCTCGCCCCACATCTCCCTGGCAGGAATCCAAGCGCTTCGTGCAGTGGCAGTCATCTATCTGAGCCCTTCCTCCATGCCAGACTGGAGCCTGTTCCCCATCTCCGGTGAGCATCTAGAGTGACACCCCAGCTCCCAAAGCCAGCCTCTGCCCTCTCTCCTTCCCTCCCTGTGGGCTCCGGGGTGGCCCTTCTGCCTGCATCTGGTCCGATCTTTGTCTCTCTCTGCAGTTCCTTCCCCAGCTGCCGGAGAAGACCCCACTAACCCAGCCTCACTGGGCTCCTACCACTAACAATGCCCTGGCTACGGACACCTTAAACAGGACTGCCTTGCCGCCTGCCCTGCCCCCTCTATGTGTCCTTAGCCCTGGAAGTAAGCCGAGGGGGTAGGCCAGGGCCCTGAGCTGGCCGGGGAGCGGGCAGACAGCCAGACCCACAGCCTCTCAGCCCTGAAGGGATGTGAGTGCCCCCGCCCTACCACACCCCAGTGGGCTTAGGGCCCCTGATCTCCACTTGCGGCACCAACTTGGGAAAGGGTTGATTTGAAATAAAAGGGACGACTTTATTTTACAAGCAGCTGGGTCCTTTTTTCTCCTCTCCGCCAATCTGGCCTTGTGGTTGGGGGGTGGAGATTCTCTTCACCTCTGCTCTCGCCCTGCCTCCTGGCCGCCAGGTGTTTCTCTCCTGTCTAGGCTCTGCAGCAGTTCCAAAGGGATTGTTCTTTAAAAAAAAAAAAATCCCCCCCACTCCTGATCTAAAAGCAGCACACATGTCCTGACGCAGGAGGAGACGCATATCCCCGGAACAGAAGAGACAGCCTAGAAATAGATCTCCGTGTGTGTGTGTACATATGACAGAAGACAGATTTCAAGTCAGGGTGAAAAGGACTGGTTTCGAAGGAATGCTGACATGATTAGCTCTCCAGCTGGAAGAAAACAGTCTACGTACAATATGGGTGGAAAACCTAAATGTAGACAAGGGACAGAAGTATTTCAAGGGAAAAGAGGAGACTTTTATATATTGTATATCTCGGTTGGAGGGGGAGGATTTTCAGCAAGGTATCCTAAAGATGGAAAGGAAGAGATAACTTATTTGACAACTTGTGGAGTGAAAAAAATACCGTAAAGTCAAGAGGCAAATTGACAGTCTGGGGAAAACAGTTTGTTTTTCTAACAACACATGTGGCAAAGAAATAGATAATTCTTAACACATACGTATAATCTGCAAAGCTTCCACAAACCATGAAAAAGATGACCCAACTTGAAAATAAGCAACTAAGATGAACATTCAGTGAAGTGAAAATCCCAATGCCAGTGAACAGACTAAAGGGCATTCAAACTCTAATAATTAGGAAGTGCACCGTGAAACAAGCAGAAACTTTGTTTTCACCACCCAGTGAAAAAGAATTATTATGAAATTAAAATGATAAGATTATCATAAAAGGAAAGGAGGGCTCACGTCCCATGCTGGCAAGGATGTGTCAGAACGGCTCATGCACCACTCCTGAGGCTATGAGCTGCAGTCCAATGAAAAAAATAGTCTGCTCACATGTGATAGACCCTTTGACCCGACAGTCCTACTTTTGGGAATCAATTTATGGAAATAAAGTAGAGACACGTAAGAATGTATTTTAGGCGCCATTTGCTGCAACGATACTTCGATCAGCTAAACTCTGGAAACTAAAGTCCATGGAAAGAGGACAAGCCCAGTAAACCGCTGTACATCAGGGGTCTCGGAACGTGACAGCTCTCGGCTGGGTTTGGAATCTTGGGAGAAAGCCTGAGAGAGGAGAGATTTGAGGTGGGAGTGACAGACAATGGCTGCAGAGTGGGCAAACGCGGAGCAGGATCCCTGTGGTTAAGAGCCCAGGCCTGCTCTCGACCACCAGGTGGATGTGGGTCATCACTCGACTAGCTGGGCCTCAGCTGTGTCATCCATCAGAAGGGTGTCAAAGACAGCTCCCCAGTGTCTCCTCAGCAATTCCAAAATCCAAAGGGCTCTGTTAGACCAAAAGTCTTCCCTGAACTCACTGGGCAGCAAAGCCCAGCCTGGCACGAGGTTACTTACAGACCATTTCCCTGCCTGGCGTGAATGTCCATCTATTTCTCTACAGAAACACTGACGGGGTTACTTCCAAGTGCTGGGCAGGGTACTGAGAGTACCGTGTCCTCTGTGGAATATACACCATGTTCTCTCTTGAAGGTCTGAAAAATCCTGAATCCCCAAACACGTAAACAGCCCCAAGGGTTTCAGGTCAGGGCTTGTTGGCCCAGAGTGCCGGATGTCAGGTGTCCAGCGGGGGCCTGCCGTAGGGGATAGCTCCATGCTTGCTATCATTTCCATCTTGTACACCGAAAGGAATGTTCAAGGAAGCCTTCGATGTGTGGGCCTGAAGCTGGGAGAGAGAAATGGATCACAGTTTCCAGAGAGGGACACGGGGGGCCACCCTCATGGACTCACTAATTCTCATGACTGGGTGAGCTGTCTGGCCCTGGGGTTGGCCCATCTGCACTTCTAAGCCGCTTTGCTCTCAAATACTGCCCTCTAGTGACTCTGAGTCTGTGTCTGGAAGCTGGTGTAGGATGCTCAAAAGTACCCTGAGATTCAGGCTGCCTGATTTCCTGCCAAGGAGCCTGGGAGTGATCTTTAATCAGGAAGCCCTAACCAAGAAATAAAAAACCATTTTGGCCTAACCTTTACAAAAGGGAAATCGATTTTCATTTTTAAATGACACATATGAGGACTTCCACTTCTGAACAAGATGGAGTAACCAGGAACTGGATTTGCTGTCCTTCCTGAAACGACCAAAATGCCAGACAGAATGTGTGAAACGACGGTGCTCAAGACTTGACATCCGGCAAAGAGGGAGGAGGGAGAGTGATCCCTGAGAATTGGAAAACACCTAGGTGACCCCTGAAATTGCCACAGCCTATGAGTTTCTGACCACAGGGCAGGGTACCTCCCTAAGGCCCCACCTAAAAGTGCTCTAAAAAATGAAGTCTACTTTTTAAAAAATGCGCAAGCCAAAAGAAGGCAGAAAAAGAGGAACAAAGAAATATGGGACAAACGGAAACCAAATAGCAAGACGATAGATTTAAATGTAACCTTACCAGTAATCACATTACAATAGTTATAAACACCTCTTTTAAAAGGCAGAGATTGTATGCTTGGGTAAAAAACAAAGATCAAACTATACGTTATGTAAAATAAACACACCTTAAATATAAAAGCTAAAAGTAAAGGGATGCTAAACGCAATGGGGTACCCTGGATTGGGCTCTGGCACATGAAGGAGAAAGGCATATAAAGGGGAAAGTGGTGAAATTCAGATACGGTCTGCAGTTAACAGTAGTGTGCCAGTGTTGGTGTCTTAGTTTTAACAAACATACTACAGCATTGGGGGAAACTGGGTGTAAGGTAGGAAGGACTTTGAATTATCTTTGCAACATTTTTGTAAGCCTAAAATTAAAACAAAAAGTTTAATTAAAAAACAAGTAAAAGGATGGAAAAAAAGATCAACTGTGCTAACAATAACAAAATGACACGCAGTTATCAACAGAAAAGTTTTTAATAACAGAAAATGGGAAGGAAATCGCTGCATCTTAAATACCACCTGCTATAACTACAGTGACCGGCGCGTGAACCGGACTGGATAATTTTCTCAATCAGAGCCCTGGGTGGAAACAGCTGGCATACTCAAAAGATTAGTTGCAAGGAGTTCAAAGAAGGGCCTTTTTAACTTGGGATGGTCCCAATTCCTCAGCCGGACATCGATGGCCTTTCAGGATCTGCTACCTGCCCACCTCCACAGATCTATCTCTTGACGCCAGGACCCCGCACACTTCTGCCACAGCCACCTGACCCCCGCCGTCTCCCACGGTACACTCGTTTCCCGCCTGTGTGTGTTAGCACACGCCATTCCCTCTGCCAGGTACGCCATTCCAGTTTTAGTTACTAGGGAAGCTCCCCTTTCCGGCTGGAGGCTGTTCTCATGTTCTCTTGCCTTCTTTGGGTCCATCATTCTCTTCCCTCGTCTTCCACATCACTACACGATGGGTAGCCTTAGAACTCTCATCACACCAATTTGCGTCTAGGAATAGTAATGGCTGCCACCAACTAAACCAAAACAAGGATGCGTGGAAGGTCGCGGAACCTGCGAACTATGCCGCGCGCGTCCCCTCGGGGCCACCGTCCCCACCCCGGCTTCCGGCTTGCATTAAGAACGCCCACCGCGTGGTTGCGTAGGCGGAAGGGGGGGGCTCAAATCACGCTCGTGGCGTCTATTGGCTGCCTGGGGACGAGGGAGGCGGGGCGAGGCCTTCGCGTGACGTCAAGACGCCACGATCCGGGCGTCGAAGCCCAAGGAAGACAAGAGCCAGCCGGGTGGGGAGCAGTCCTGCGGCCGTGTTGCTATCATTTGGAGGCGCCGCTGACAAGTCCCAGGGGCATACGGACGAGGTGGGTGTACCGAGCGGCGGCGGGCGGGCGGGCGGAGGCGGCGTTTCCTTTTGGCCTTACGCCCCGCGGGCCCCGAGGCCTCGGCGGCGGTTGGACCAACAGACGCCGCGCGCGAGCGACGACAGGGTGTGGAGGAGCCCGGGCCACTGGGCCTGCGCACGAGTGGTGGGGAGTGCGGCTGCGCACCCTGGCGCCTGCGCCGTCGGCCTCTGCACCCGCGCGCTCGGAAGTCTTGGGCCCAGAGCACCCCTTTTCTTCAACCCCAATTGACCCGGCAGCTCCTTCGGGAGGATCACGTTGACCCTGGCGACGGGCGGCCCTTGCGCTGTCTTCTTCCCCCCACTCGGGGACGTGGTGCGCACGCGCGGCTTGGCCGGGGCGGTGGCTCCGGGGCCAGTGGCGAGGATCCAGGCGAGCTCTTCCTCCACCCTAGCCCTCTTGTGCCTTCCCCGGGCCTGCGGGACGGCCAGGTGCCCCCTTGCCTCCGGTTCTCGCCCCAGCCCAGAAACCTCCTCCCTCCAGGCTCCCCCAGACCTTACCCCCACTTTTCTTCCTGTCCCGGGGCTCCACCCACTATCCCCACTCGTGATCCCCCCACCTCCCTGCCCCCAATCCTTCCGCCCAATTCCGTTCGGTCTCTTCTTTATGGCTTGTTTTCTCTAGGCTTTTTTCCAGTTCCAGACTCCTTACATCTCCACTTCTTGTAGGATTTTCGGGTTCTCCAGCGGGACTCGCCTTTGAGCTCCCCCATACTTCTCAGTTCCTCCCTCAAGTCTAGGCCACCCAATTCTTGCCCCCAGGACATTCCTTCATGTTCTTGCTGTCCTGTTCTCTCCACCCCACTCCAAGTCCCTAAAGATGTTTTGGACCTCTTTGGGCGTCCCCAAAGCTTTCTCACCAGACCCCCAACCAAGGGGCTCGCCTCTTCTCTTTTCCCAGATCTACTCCTGCTTCTAGGAATCTCCCATATACGTTTTTCTCTATCCTTAGGGGGCCTCCCTGAAATCAGTCTTTTAAGAGCTTTTTAAGAACTCATTTCTTCACTCCCAGGGTTCCTCTCTGGCACCCTCAACTTCTTCCTGCTCCAGGAGTAACTTCCAGAAATCGGCTTTTTCTCCCAGACTTCTCCATTCTCCAGTGTTCTCTTTTCTCAAGGCTTCCTCAAACGCTTCCCTCTTTACAGACTTTCTCTCAGGGGTCTTTCCAGGTCTTCCAGCGTGGAGGTTCACTTAGCCCTTGTTTATTAGAGCTTCTTCTCAGAAGCCATCTTCCTCCTTGCTCCTTGCCTGAGGTCCCCCACCCTGCCCTCTGACCCTGTCCCTGTTTCGGGGTTTCCCTCGAACCCTTCCCTTTTTTCATATGGGTTTCTGATCCTTTTCTTTCTCTTTGGGAAACTCATTTGGACTTCCCTGTTTTCCAATCCTTTGTTTTCCACCTAGAGCACTGCAGAGGGGCCAGGGTCTTTCCCTCAGGCTGTAGCCCTTTAATTCCACACCCAGAATTCTCTTCAGATTGTTTACCCCTTGTCTCCTTCTTTCTCAGACTTCCTTTTCTGTCTGGCTTCTCGTGAGCCCATTTGCTTCTCTTCCCTATTTGTTGACATGTTTCTTGCTCCTTCTGGAGTCTCCCTAATTCATTCTTTTTCTTGCAGACAGTGAAAAAGCAGTCTGGCTCCCGAGGTCCACCCCGTACACCCCAGGGTCCAGATGGCGGCCAACGTGGGTGATCAGCGTAGCACGGATTGGTTAGTGAGGCTAGAGGGACGGGTCGGAGGGGAGGGCGAGAGGAAGCAAGACCCAGTGTTGTCTTCCGGATGGGCCCTCACACAGCATGGGGGACATGATAGCACAGCCCCTGGGGTGGGGGTGGGGCCGAGGCACTCCTTTGAGCGTTCACCTTTCACAGTGCAGTGCTTGTTTCACAGAAGTGTGATCATTCATTCCGTGGACTGTGATTAAGAGGCAGCCTCCAACACTTAATACTCATTTTTTTAATTCCTCGTTTTTTCCAAAACAGTGTGATGACTTTCTGACTGAGGTGGTATCAGACAGAATTTGTGGTTTCATAAAGCATTTAGATCTGTTAGGCATCAAGTCTTGTTTTAAGTCTTGTGGTTACTGGTAATCCTTTGGTTTGAGTTTTAACGTCCATACGTAGCAGGCATCTGCAAAAGTACCTTAGGTAGGTGATCGCATCTGTCGCTCACTGAAGACTGTGACGCAGAAACTGGCTGTCAGTGTGTCACAGATTAGGAAATTGAGGCTCTGGGATTCAAGCCCTGGGGTTTGCCTGCTTCCGTCCTGCCCACCGTCTGCAGTGGGAGAATGGGCTGACTCGATGTCCCCTTTCTGCAGGTCCTCTCAGTACAGCATGGTGGCCGGGGCAGGCAGAGAGAGTGGCATGGAGACCCCCATGCACGAGAACCCCGAGTGGGAGAAGGCCCGCCAGGCCCTGGCCAGCATCAGCAAAGCGGGAGCTGCCGGCAGCTCTGCCAAGGCCAGCGGCAGCGGGCCCGTGGCCAGTGCACAGGTGAGCAGCGTCCTCGGGGGACCTGCATCCCCTGCGCGGGCGTGGGGCACACGCACACACTTGGTGTCCTCTCGTACCACTAGGGCAGGGTGCTCTGAGGACGCCCTGGGAGCCCTGGAGTAGTGAGTCTAGGGCACCATGCGGTCGTCGTCCCTGGGAATCCAGCCTGAGGAGGGAGGGGCGCTCGTGTCCGGTGGTAGAGGTGGTGGCTCTCTGTGGAGAGATGTGTTCCCAGTTCTGTCCCTTGGCAGTTAACCACCAGTAAACAGACCTGCCCTGGTGGGGCCCTGGGCTCCTGCTTCCAGCACTGATGGCACGTGGCTCTCCCCCCACAGTATGTGTCACAGGCAGAAGCCTCGGCTCTGCAGCAGCAGCAGCAGTACTACCAGTGGTACCAGCAGTACAGCTATGCCTATCCGTACAGCTACTATTACCCTGTGGTGAGTGCCCACCCAGCCCGGCGGGGGCAGGCGGTGGAGGGGCGGAGTGGGATCATCGGGCAGGGTCCGGGGGCAGTGGGTGGATTGGCCACAGCAGTGACAGCTGCTGGAAAACCCTCCCTGAGCTCATGGTCCACAAGGTAAATGCCCAGGTCCTTCGGTGGCCACCCACGCTGCCCTCCCCGTGCCCACGTTGCCGCAGAGACTCCTCCCCCTCAGCACACACCGAGTCCACTCCCGCCTCAGCCCTTTCCTTGCGTGCTGACGCTCGCTGTGCCCTCGCCTAGCAGAGGGCTGCCCGAGAGCGCCTTCAGAGTGCGCTTCCTGGGACAGGCTTTACTTAGAGTGGCATTCCCACTGCTCACCCTGCCACTCGGCTTCTCTGCTTGGCTTTGTTTTTTGTTTACTGCTGGCTGTGTTGGGTGTCTACTGTGGCATGTATTTTGAGTGCAAAGTTCATTTTGTCTTTACTTTGCATTGTATTATAGTGTTTAGATGGGTTGGTACTCAGTAAATAGGTGTTGAAGAGAGTGGAATGTGGGACACATGGAGGTGGTCATTTTATTTGGTAATTTTTCAGCATGAGGGAGTTGGGCGCTTCTATGCGGTGGAGAGAGGGAGGGTGAGAGATCAGTAAAGGATCGCAAACTGAGCAGCTGGGAGAGAGGGGCGGGTCTAGGCCTCCAGGGAAGGAATCGGCCCGCCGCTAATCCTTCCCTCTTGTGCCCTCGCCAGAGCATGTACCAGAGCTATGGCTCCCCCTCCCAGTACGGGATGGCCAGCTCCTATGGCTCAGCTGCACCGCAGCAGCCGTCCGCAGCGCAGCACCAAGGGACTCTGAACCAGGTAACGCCCTACCCCGCCCCGGCTCACGTCCACGGCCAGCAGCGGGGACACCTGCGTTATTTAAGCTGCTGCTGCCCAGCAGTTCCTGATCTGAGAACGAGGAAGGCAAAGCTTAGTTTTTGAAACCAGGGTGGGTGTAGGGCTTGAGCACGGCCAGGGGGCTGAGGTGTTGGGGTGACAGTGGGAGCACTTTGTGGCGTGGCAGCCTTCTCCTGTGCTTTTCCCTCAGCACATGCCCACATGCATACAGTCTCTCTCTCACGCGCACACACACGCTCTAGCCTTGCACTTCACGTGCAGCTGGGAGGTGCGGTGGAGCTCGTGCCGGGGAGGTGGGCAGACCTGGGTGGCCAAACTACAAGTCACGCTCTCTCTGCGCCCCAGGCGGTGCCGTCCGGCGGTGGTGTGGCGGGGGGAAGGATCCCGGCTTTATCACCGGGCTCCCGCAAGCGTGTGCCACACGTGTGTCTTGACGGGCACGTGACATGTGCTCAGACAGTGACCGCCGGGGCTTTAAATGCCAGCCGCCGCCGCCGCTCAGCAGTGGGAGCCGTGGGAGAGCAGCGCGGTGCCTGGGCTGCTGGGCCGTGGGAGTCGCCGAAGCCCCCGCCTCGAGAGGCGCTCTGCGGGTGCGGGTGGCGAGGCGGGGGAGCGTCCGGCCGCGGAGTTGAGAGCTGAGGTGGCCGAGGACCCCGTGCGAGGGCCAGCCCGGGGTGCCCACTCCTGCCTCAGCGGCCGCTCCGCCCACAGCCCCCGGTCCCGGGTATGGACGAAGGCCTGTCCTACCAGGCGCCCCCTCAGCAGCTGCCAGCAGCCCAGCCCCCTCAGCCCTCCAACCCCCCGCGTGGGGCTCACCCTTTGAGCAGCGGTCCGCAGCCCGGGACGGCGCCTGCCACGCAGCACAGCCAGGCCGGATCTGCCTCGGGCCAGGCCTACGGGCAGCATGGCTACAGCGAGCCCGCCAAGCCCAAGAAGGGCCAGCAGCTGTGGAACCGCATGAAGCGTGAGTGGCCTTGGGCCGTGGAGGGGAGGGGGCCTTACAGGACTCCTGGCGCGAGGCACGTGGGGTGCTTGGACCGTGCTTCGCTCTTGGGACCTCCCGGGGCGGTGCGTGGGGCCGCTCGGAATGGGCGCCCTTCTCTGGAGCTCAGGGCTCCTGCCCCGGGGGTGGGGGTGGGGGCGGGGCCGCCCACGTGGGCGGGGGAGGCCTCACCCCAGCTTTTGCTGCCCTCACAGCGGCCCCTGGGACTGGTGGGCTCAAGTTCAACATTCAGAAACGGCCTTTCGCTGTCACAAGCCAGAGCTTTGGCTCCACCACGGAGGGCCAGCACGGCAGCTTCGGTCCCCAGCCCAACCCCGAGAAGGCCCAGAACCACAGGTGACGGCCGCCCCCTCACCCGGCCCCAGCCCCTGGGCACCGTGCTCAGCATCTGAGTGCGGCCCACTGGCACGGCCTGCTCCTTAGAAAGCAGAGCCCCCCTGCCCCACGGGCTCGCCCGGAGCGCCCGCCCGGGAGGGGCGGTGATGACGGTCCCACCTGGGTCGTGGGGTACCACTCCCCAACCGAGTGTCTGCACCTGTCCTCCCTCCGCCAGGGGGAACCTGTCCGGTAAGCCCGACGACTGGCCGCAGGACATGAAGGAGTACGTGGAGCGCTGCTTCACCGCCTGCGAGTCGGAGGAGGACAAGGACCGGACGGAGAAGCTGCTCAAGGAGGTGCTGCAGGCGAGGCTCCAGGACGGCTCGGCCTACACCATCGACTGGAGCCGGGAGCCCCTGCCGGGGTGCGTGGGGCCGGGGGGCGCTCGGGAGGTGCCTGGTGCTGCAGTTGGAGACCTGCTATCCTAGGTGCCCGGGGCCCTGAAGAGAAGGAGCGAGAGAATGGGGTCCTGGGGGCGGGAGGCCGCCAGGGTGGGGCCGAGGCCCAGGAGCTGCCGGGGTTGGAGTCCCGGGGGTGAGAGCGTGGAGGTGGGAGGCGTGCTACTCAGCGGCTGCCAGCAGCCTCTAGACACACAAAGCCTGGGACTGTCTCCCAGCTGAGCGCCGTGTTAGTCGAGTTGCCTGGGTAAGTGCCCTTCCTTCTGAGCTCGTGTGTCCAGGGGCGGGTGGCAGGCGTTGGGGATGTCGGGGCGCCGGGTGGTGATGCCCTCCCCTGCTATATCCCCAGGCTGACTCGGGAGCCTGTGGCTGAGAGCCCCAAGAAGAAGCGGTGGGAGGCCCCTAGCAGCCTCCACCCTCCCCGGGGGGCAGGCTCAGCGACCAGGGGCGGGGGTGCCCAGTCCCAGCGAGGGACGCCCGGGGCTGGGGGTGCTGGCCGAGCCCGGGGCAGCAGCTTCGCCAAGTTCGGCAACCGCAATGTCTTCATGAAGGACCACAGCTCCTCCTCCAGCACCGACTCGCGCTCCCGCTCCTCCTCCCGCTCCCCGACCCGCCATTTCCGCCGCAGGTGCGAGGCTGCTGGGTGGCGGGGCGGGGGGCGGGGGGAGGAGACGTTTCAGGCCTCACCTTTGTGCTCCTCTGCGCAGTGACTCGCACTCGGATTCCGACAGCTCCTACTCAGGGAATGAGTGTCACCCTGTGGGTCGCAGGAACCCACCCCCCAAGGGCCGGGGAGGCCGGGGGGCCCACATGGACCGGGGCCGAGGCAGGGCGCAGCGTGGGAAGAGGTGAGGCTTTGGGGGCCGGGGAGGAGGGGCCGGTTGGGGGCTCCTGGGAGGGGGAGGGCTGTGTCTGGGCAGCGGTGGAGAGGCAGGGGGTGGCGCCACGCCCGCCCCTTCAGGGCTCCCTCCTCCCTCCCTCCCCAGGCACGACCTAGCCCCCACCAAGCGCAGCCGCAAGAAGATGGCGGCCCTGGAGTGTGAGGATCCCGAGCGCGAGCTGAAGAAGCAGAAGCGGGCGGCGCGCTTCCAGCATGGACATTCCCGTCGCCTGCGCCTGGAGCCCCTGGTGCTGCAGGTGAGCAGCCTGGAGAGCGGCGGGGCCGACCCCGACTGGCATGAGCTGCAGATCGTGGGCACCTGCCCTGACATCACCAAGCACTACTTGCGTCTCACCTGCGCCCCCGACCCGTCCACTGTGCGCCCCGTGGCGGTAAGTGCCCCCTGCCAGCGAGGGCAGGTCCTCCCTGTGAGGCCAGCGCTGCGAGGATGGCAGAGGCAACGTGGGAGGAGGTGGTGGGGCGGGCAGGGGTCTGGCTCGGGGAAGACCCGGACCTGCCTGTGCACAGAGGGCCTGTGGCTGACCGGGCCCTGGAGGCCTGAGGCACCGAGAGGTGAACTGGACCCAGAGCTTGTGCTTTCGGAGCCGAGGCCAGAGCCTGTGGCCTCGTCGGAAGGCTGGGCCGGCCTATGAGCCTCCGCCTCCTGCTTAGGAGACCAGGAGAAGGAAGCCGATGTCCCCGGCCAGTGCCTGTGAGACACTGGGCCATCCCTGTCCCAACGTCCCGAGGCCCGAGCTGGGAGCAGGGCTGACGTGTCCTCCCGGGGCGCGTGCGCGGCCTGTGCTGACGCGGGAGACTGCACGCTTTTACTCTTTTAGGTTCTACTCCCTTTAATGTCGGGATCAAGCCACTGGGTGGGTTTAATGTTGCAGCCTCTGCTTTAGGACCCCGAGTTTGTGGAACTGTGGCAGGTTTTAGCACATCCTTGCTCTCCCTGCTCAGGTCACGCTGAGCCACAATTCACCTCCTTCCCAGGTTTTGAAGAAGTCGCTGTGCATGGTCAAGTCCCACTGGAAGGAGAAGCAGGACTACGCCTTCGCCTGCGAGCAGATGAAGTCCATCCGGCAGGACCTGACGGTGAGGCGGGGGCCGGGGAGGGGGCCACACTGCTGGTCCCGCCCTGCTCCGGTGTGACATCTGCTCTCCCGCTGCCCAGGTGCAAGGTGTGCGCACCGAGTTCACGGTGGAGGTGTACGAGACCCACGCCCGCATCGCCTTGGAGAAGGTGAGGGGCTGACAGGATTCCCTCGGCTCCCGCCACCCCCGTCCTGGCCTCACTCTGCTCCTGCCTCCATGCCCTCCAGGGTGACCACGAAGAGTTCAACCAGTGCCAGACGCAGCTCAAGTCACTGTATGCTGAGAACCTGCCAGGCAACGTGGGCGAGTTCACTGCCTACCGGATCCTCTACTACATCTTCACCAAGAACTCAGGAGGTGAGGCGCAGCCCCGCAGAGCGGGGCGGCCGCGGGCCCCCAGGTCCCGGCCCTGCTCACCTCCTCGTCTCCGGCCGCAGACATCACCACGGAGCTGGCGTACCTGACGCGGGAGCTGAAGGCGGACCCTTGTGTGGCCCACGCCTTGGCGCTCAGGGCAGCCTGGGCCCTGGGCAACTACCACCGCTTCTTTCGGCTCTACTCGCACGCGCCCTGTATGTCTGGCTACCTCGTGGACAAGTTTGCAGACCGGGAGCGCAAGGCCGCCCTCAAGGCAATGATCAAAACGTATGTGAAGCTGAGCTCTCCCCCTGGCCCTCTGCTCTGCGGCCTCACCGCCGCCCTCCTCCCCCCCGTCCGCACCTCTGACTCCCCTGGTCTCCCTCCCTCGGGTCCTGGCCTTCGCTCCCCTTTTCTCCTCTCCACGCTCGGCCCTCCCCTCTGGTCCCTCCACCTTCCAGCGCACGCACGGCAGGCCCTCCTCCGGTCCTGTCTCTCACTGCTCTGGGCTCCCCTGCCCCTTCGCCTCTCTTTGCCTTCTCTTCGCATCACTCTGGACCCCACTCGGTCTTCTCCTTGCTCCGGGCTCCCCTTCCTCCAAGGCCTCTGCCCACCTTCTTCAGCGCTCCTGTGGCTGAGCTCCTGCTCTGTGGGGACGCCCAGCGAAGGCGGCCCTGCCCTTGGTAGCCGCGGTCTCAGGGACAAGGCCCCGCTCCCACTCGAGCTGTTTTGAGAGCCCAGGCGTGCTCAGGGACCAGGCGTGAGGCAGGGCAAGCTAGGCCGGGACGGGACCCAAAGAGCGCGGCCTGTGCTCACGTGCTCAGTCAGGCGGGAGACGCCCCCCGGCGACGGCAGGACACCTCTTGCGTTGTCACAACCGGGGTCCTCCTGGCCTCTGCTGGTGGAGGCCAGGGGTGCTGCTCAGTGCCCTGCAGTGCACAGGGCACCCCCAGCTGGGTCACCTGGCCGCAGTGTCAGTCTTACTGAGGCTGGGAAGCCCTGGTCAGAGGACGTGGGGCCTTGAGTGCCACGTCAGTTTGTTGGGAGCCGTGGGGGTGGTTTGCAGCTGGGGAGGGATACTTACCCTGCAGGTTAGGAGACTCCTAGGATCCAGTTTGGGTCAAGCCGATGTGAGGGCAAGGTGCGGGCCGGGGCAGGGGCCGTGGGAAGAGAGAGGAGGGAGTGGGGCAGACACAGAGGAGGCAGGGCCGCGGGACCCGCTCTCTAAGCCAGGAGGGGTGAGGAGGCCGTGCACCTGAAGGACCCTGGGCTCCCCGGCTCCCGTGTTCTCCGCGGCCGCACAGGCTCTTCCTCCTGTAGTTTTCGGGCTTCTGCGCCGCCCCCGGGCTGTAGCCGGGCAGGCCACTGTCCCCCCCTCAGCACTTCCTGTTTCTGCCTCAGCCTGTGTGTGCTTGGCCAGTGGGAGGGCTCTGGCCTGTCGTTGGCCTCACGGTCTTGTGTCCCCCCGCTCCGGAGGGTGGTGCGGCTTCTCTCTGGCTCGCTGGGCCGGGGCCAGCCCCGTGTTGGGGGGCAGCAGGCTGTCCTGTGCCCCGCCCCCCCATGGACTTCCAGGGCTCTGAGGAAGTGGGGGCTTCAGGCAGGAGTGGTTTGAGCGTTTTCTGCCACTTACTTAGGTCCTAGGTGACAGTGGCTCTGCCGCTGCGCTGTCCTCGGTGTGTGTCTGTAAAGGGTAGGGTGACAGCTGCTGGGAGGGAGCTCAGCGAGCTCACGGGGCGGTACTTAGAAGAGCACAGGCCAAGCCTCCTCTCTTAGCACGCGGACCCAGCTCAGGGCAAGCGGGAGGGGAGGGGCGGGGCTCCCTGCGCCTGGCCCCTGCCCCGGGCCACGCGGGCCCTCTCCTGAGGGGCTGCTCAGGCCCCGGCCAGCAGAGGAGCCAGCTGGGCCCTTCCCTCCTGGCCCCTCTCCTCCCGTCCCCGCACAGGTAAGTGAGGGGGAGGGGGGGCACAGCGAGGGGTTGGGGCCCCCCCCACCCCGGGCCCCCCCGAGCCCCTGAGGGGGGAGGCCGGGGCTGGGGAGGGGCCAGCAGGTGACATGCTGAGGAAACCTTTGGGTGCCCGAAAGGGGGGCGCCCACTCCTTGCTCGTGGGGCCCTCCCGTGCCCGCCGCCCGCCTCATCGCGTTCTCCTCTTGTCTCCGTAGCTTCCGCCCTGCGCTGCCAGTCTCCTACCTGCAGGCCGAGCTGGCCTTCGAGGGTGAGGCCGCCTGCCGGGCCTTCCTGGAGCCCCTGGGCCTGGCCTACACGGGCCCGGACAACTCCAGCGTCGACTGCCGCCTCAGCCTGGCGCAGCTGCCGGCCTTCTGAGCACCAGCGCCGCCGGGGGTGGGGGGCAGGGCTGCAGCCCCCCAGCGCCGCCTCGGCGGGTTTTGTTTTTGAGCCGTGGACTTGGGTTGTAAATTAATTTGCGGGGAGTGGGCTCCAGGAAGAGCCACCAGCCCGGCCCCCATTTCCCACCGGGGAGTCTGTACAGAGATTTTTCTACATTTTTATTTTTGCCTCTGAGGGATGGGATTGGGGGAGGGGGGGACAGCGGAGGGTTGGGGGCATAGTCTGTAGGGTCGTCTGTGTCCACCTTGCACCTCCACTAATGCTGTCTCAGTGTTTTTTCTCTCTCTCTCTCGAGCTTGTACTCCGGTAGCGACCCGGCACCCTGGCCCATCCCATGCCGGGGGCGCCAGTGGAAGAAGACAGGCCGCTCCGCCCGTGCCCGCCGGCGGCAGGGGCACCAGCACACCAGCCCGCTGCCCGCCGCCTCATCTGCCTCACCACAGACTCTTGTTGCCCAGCCCTCCGGGGCCTCAGTGTTTGGGGCGAGGGGAGCCGCGTAGACTGTGCCCTGCCCGCGGCCCCCGACCCCAGAAACGCCAACGCCTCGCCACCGCCAGATCCACACTGCCAGCCTGCACTGAGGACTCCGGAGGCCATCGCGGGACCTCGACGGCCGGGCTGCCTCGTCTGCAGTTGTATTAAGTTGTCTCCGTGTCCCTTCCCCTCTCCACCCCAATGTTTCTTCTGGTTTTTCCCCTTTTTCCCTCCCGCCGCCTCCTGCTCCCGCTCTCCCTTGGTTCAGCACAGGTAAAACGGTTACCCTCCCTCCCCGCCTCATGGATCACCAGCTCACGTCATGTTTCCTTCTCTTTTCTTTTTGTGTGTGTTTATTTAAGTTATTTTTTCTTCCTCCCCTTTTCTTTTCCGTCCTCCCTCCCTCTTCTGCCATGTAACTGGAGGATGTGCAATGAGTTTGCAAACAGCTGGACTGTCAGGCTGCTTTTTTTCCAGATGTTCCTCCTTTGCCTCCCCTCCCCCTCCTCTCCCCCTCCCCTTTCCTTCCTTCATTCTTTCCTTGGAGCACTGAGCACCATTTGGAAGCTTGAGAGAAACCAAAATTAAAGAGAGAGAGAGAACACGCGTGCACGCTTTGTCCTTCTGCCCCGGGCTAGATTGCCTCTGGGTGTCTGGGTCCTGGCCTTTATTCCTTTTGGCGTTGAGATACCAGGGGGATCTCCGCCACGGCCTGGTAGGTGCCCCCTGACCTCCCCACGCGGCACAGCCAGAGTTTCCCCAGAGGCTGGCTCCCCAGCTCCTGCCTTGGGCTGAACCCAGGCTTGGGGAGGCCGACTTGGGAACCCTGGGGCACCTTGGCCAGGGTGAGGTGGGGGTGTAGCCCCCTGCAGGGCTGCAGCACTCTCAGCCCCTCGGCCTCCAGCCTCTGGCTGAGCACTTGGGCCATGTTCTCCAAAGGGGGGTCGGGGGGAGCACAGAGCACACGAGAGCCCAGGGACACCAGGCGCCTAAACCTCAGCCTCTGAGGAACCTGAAGCCCGGGGTCCGAGAGCACGCCTCTGAGTGCGTCGACCGCAGCCGCCATCTCCCCGGGGCCCGCCAGCCTCAGCAGGGCCACTGTCAGGTGCAGGGCCTGAGCAGGCACCGTGAACGCCGCGCAAGCTGGTGCATTTCGTACCAGTTCTTCTTGGACCTTAGCCACCCCGGCCTGCAGCTCAGCCTCTGTCACCATGAGGGCCACGAAGTGGGTGGGGCGGGGCCGGCGAGGGCCCACGGCCCCGGCTGCTCCACCGTCCACGGGCCAGACCCCGGGACCCCACTCCACTTCCGTCTCAGAGAGGCCTTCCGAGGGCCTTCCCGGGGCTACCACAGCCGGCAGCTTCCCACCCAGGGGCTCCAGGTCCCTGGCAGCGGCGGCGGCTAGCTTCAGCGCCCTTCTTGGCTGCATCCACGGGGAACCTTGGCCTCCAGGGCCGCCCAACTCCCGCTCCTGGATCCTCGATAACGTCCCTGCCAACGCCAGGCGCCCAGCTTCGGGGCCTCCGCCATCCGGGGCCAAGGCGGCTCGAAGTCCCGTACAAGCTGGCTGTACGCGCCCTCCCGCACCGGTGCCAAGACGGGTCGTAGCTACACGGTCCTGTGCGCCTCCGGCCCCGGCCGTGTCCCCACCGCTGAGCGCACCTCCGGCCCCGTACGCGTCCTCGCCGTCACACTCGTCCCCGGTCCCGGTCCCGGTCCCGGTCCCATGCACGTCCCCGCCCCTGTCTTCGCCGTCGTGCGCGCCCCCGGTCCCGTGCGCGTCCACGCCGTCGCTCTCACCTCCGGCTCCGTGCACGTGCTCGCCGTCGCTCGCATGCCCGGTCTGGTGCGCGTCCTCGCCGTCGCCCTCCTCTCCGACACCGTGCGCGTCCCCGCCGTCGAGCGCGTCCAGGATGGTGGACCCGCGGCCCGCAGCCAAGCCCGAGCCGAAGACGAGGTCCGTACGCGAGGCGCGGTCCCACACCAGACGGCCGCGGAAGCGGAAGTAGCGCACCCGGTGCTGCGGCACGGCCAGAACGCCCGGCCCGAGCGCCGCCAGAGGCTCGTCCCAGCAGAAGGAAAGGAAGGGCTTCTCGCGCGCGCCCAGGAAGCGGTCGACGTAGCCCACGGAGAAGTCGGCCGGGTCGAGGCGCGGGTCCCAGCGGATGCGCTGGATGACAGCCGCAGCCGTGCGCAGCGGCGGCTTCTTGGCTTTGGCCTCTGCTTCGGGCTCGCCTCTAGGCTGCGGCGGCGCCGGCGCCCCGGGGTGGGGCTGGCGGCAGCGGGCACCGAAGCGGCAGCGGCCCTCCAGGAAGAAGCGGCAGGCCGGCGGCGGCGCGGGTTCCGCGCTGGGGGCCCCCACGGGCGGCTCCGGCCCTCCGGCCGCCGCCATGGGAGTGGGGTGCGGCTGGCGCGCTCGCCCCGCTCAGGCCGTTCCGCACCTGGGTCAGTCCTGCCGGCACTGGCGCCGGGCACCGCTGTGACGTCACGGGCGAGGCTCAGGCCCCGCCCCGACCTGGAAAGCACCTCGCGCGTGGGACGACACTCCGCGGTGCCCTGGGGGCGCCTGACCCTTGCAGCCAAGCGGTTTTTATCTGTGGCCACGGCCCCAACCCAATAATTTACATATGCGGCCCCGCCCCCCACAATACAAATACCTTACAGGTGCGGCCCCGCCTCTTCTGGCCCCTTAGCGAGCTTGGCTCCGCTACCTAATGATTTACAAGTGCGGCCCCGCCACTCTTGCTCCTTAGAGAAGCTGGCCCCGTCCCTAGTCCAGTGCTTTAACGATGCGGCCCCGCGCTCTCTTGGCCCCTGACGAGCTGGGCTTGTACACCCCGCACGCCTAATGATTTGCATGTGCTGTCACGCCCCTCCGGGCACTTGTTGGGCTGCGCCCTCCGCGGGACAACCGGACGCCTGTAGGCTCAGACCGAACTTCGTAGCCCGGATTTGGGACGCAACTGTCGCCCTCAGGATGACACAACTTTGAGGCGTCCCTTTTCTACGGGGACCACGCCTCTTCCCGGCCACTTTTCCTGTGCGGCCGCTCCCGGGGTAAAGGACAGCTCGCCTGGGCTGGGTCCACCTGAGACGCGGAGCTCACGGGGTCACAGCCGTCGGCCGGCCCGAGGGAGCGAGTCAGGCCGGGCCCGGGACCGCGTCCGGCAGGCGGCGGCGGCGGCGGCGGCGGCGGCGGCGGCGGCGGCGGCGGCGGCGCGCAGCCAACACTGCTGAAAAAACCAGGCTGTGGGAGCGGCCACTTCGGAACCCCGCCCCTGGGAGGGGCACCGCCCAGCCACGCCCCTGGCTCTCTTAAAGGGGCCGCGTCCCATTACAACAGGTTAATCCTGAGACCTCCACCCACCTGGCTGGGACCGGAACCCCACGTGACACACCTAGCTCTTAAAGGCGCCAGGACCCCATCACCCCTCCCCGTCCCCCCTTCCCACATGTAAAGTAAACAGACAAAACCCGGGGCACAGACCTTGTCGGTTTATGTATAAAGAAGTGGGGAGCTGGACGGTAAGGGCGCAGGGAATGGGGGTGCCTACAGGCCGATGACGTCGTCCAGCTCGAGGTCCGCGTTGGGGAGGCAACGGGCCCTAGGGTGCTGCGCCCCGGGGCCGGGGTCCACGTCGGGCTTGGCGGCGGCGGCGCCCGGGCGTTCCGCGTCCATGACGCCCAGCACTGCGTCCAGCATGGAGGGGCCCAAATCCAGGTGGAAGGACAGCAGCGGGTCGGCGGGCGCTGGCGCGCGGAGGGCCGGCGGCGGGGGCTGCGGCACGGCGGGCGGCTGCGCGGAGCGCGGGGCCCCCGCGGGCGGCGGCCGGGGCTCAGGGGGCGGCCCGCCGCCGTGGCGGCTCAGGAACGAAGTGTCTCCGAAGGCGTCGCCGCCGCGCCCCACGTGCAGAGTGTGCCGGAAGTCGCCGAGCGGCGCGGAGATGGACAGAGCGCCGCGCTCCGGCCGCTTCTTGGGCTGCGCGGGGCCCAGCTGCTTCAGGACCGGCATCTGCGGGATAGGGACGGGTTAGCACGGCCTCCCCCGGGAGGACGCTACCGAGGCCTTCCGTGTTCCCAGCCCTGGGCGTAGCACGCCGTTCAGAGGATGCTCTCCATAAGTACAGGATGATGGTGGTGGGATCACTCCCATTTTACAAGTGGGGAAACTGAGGCTCCCAGAGGTCCGAGGTTACAGCTGCTTGATTCAAATCTCAGACTCAAACTTAGGTCTGCCCATATGCTAATTCCACTAAGAACTAACGTTTGAGCTTTTATAGGTCAGAGAACAAGCAACATGCTTCACCAAGCCTTTTGGACTGCTTCCCAAACTTGACAGAAACTCCAGCTTAAACACAGGGCCATCCACCATGAAGACAGGGCGGACTCTGTCCTTTAGGTGCAACAGACACAGTGCCCAGCGCCCGCCACATTTCTAGAGGCCCGCACACATGTTTAAACGTTTTATTATTATTTTTTTGAACCTCTTGTCCTTTATTGAGGCCACTGGTTCCCAGCTCCCGCAGGGCAGGGACACAGGCCCAGGTCTTCCTCTCCAGCCCCGCCACCTTTGGGGCCTGCAGAGCCCACAAAACCCCGGGGAGCACAGATGAGACCCTCCCCCTCAACACATGGTGTACAGAAGCCCCTTCCCAGACTGGGCTGCCGTGTTTTATTTTAAAACGTCTGGATTATGTTTGCCTTTATACCAACGCAGTCGTAAAATATAATTATGATATATATATATATATAATTATCTCCATGAAAGCTTTGCCTAGAACACACAAAAGTCATCATGTAGGCTGGCCTGAGGATTGTAATTTGGGAGATTTAGGGTGGGCCTGGGAAATCTATATATTTGCACAGCATTTTATAATTTGAATTATCTGGTTTTGAAAAAAACATGTAAGTCTTACTTCTTGGAAAACAAGAGTAACAATAATAATCATGCAAATTTTCCTATGTTAAAACATGGCAAGAATGGCATAAATTCCAAACTGGCAGCTCATGAACTGTTAACTAGGTACCCTATAGCTACATGACTGCATCAGACTCGATGGTAAATAGATATGCCTGCCAACCTTTGCCCATATCCTGGAACTTGGCTGTTTCTATGGAACTTCTGGGAGGGACTTTGATGACCTTGTACTTTTGTTTTAACAGTCACTGTTATTATAGTAATAACAATTAAAAAAAAAAACCTTTCCATTTGAATTGAAGCCCCACCCTTTGCCAACTGGATGAATTGGGATAAATTATGTGATTGCTCTCTGTCTGTTTTCTATCTGGAAAATGGATAAAATGACACTGCCTTCCTTGCAGGACACACAGAAATACTCAGTCAAAGAAAACTGTATTTTTAACAGTGCCAGCCAACTGATAGTGATGGTGTTGGGGAGGGGCACGTGTTCCCAAACAAAACTGTGGAACAAAATTTAGATCAAATCCTACGAAGCAGGCAAAGCAGTCAGCCTTGTCCTTTCAGGGACCAGCACCATGGGAAAGATCAGTGATAACGTGGAGAAAAATTAAAGCCAAAAGGATTTGAAATAATTGTAGATGGATATGTTCTGAGAACTGCCTTCTCCCCTACCCAAACACACACACACACACACACACACACACACGCACACACTTTACAGTTATTTCTGGAAAAACCAGTCTTGATTTACCACCTCTGTCGTGTTTCTCAAACTTCCCTGACCTCAACCTAGATGAATAAATATATTTTCTTGCAATCTGGCACACAGTCACCATTCCTTCCCCACCCACAACCACACACACCCCCTACATAAGGGAAACAAACATTTTGTGAATTGAGACCTACTCTTATCTCATGCTAGGCACTCAGTTTCAATTCTATTTTATTATTTATTTAATAACTAACTAACTAAATGCCTGCATGATGCATTTACCCTGCACCATGCAGGATCTTAGTTCCCTGGCCAGGGATCGAACACACACTCCCACACCGCCCCCCCCCCCCCCCCCCCCCGCGGCAGCACCGAGTCTTAACCACTGGACTACCAGAGAACTCCCTATTTTTCTTTTTTAATGCTGACCTCTGCTCATTAATGAATCTCAACCCACAGTTTTAAAAAAAAAAAAATCCTGTCTCAGAGCTAGCAGCACCCCTTATCCCTGGGCAGTGATTCATAGTTCAAAAGAGCAGAACTCAGAAAGCCAACTGCCCAGACTTGGATCTGACTGTGCCCACTGCTGTGTAACTTTGGGCAAATTACTTAACCTTTCTGACCTCACTTCCTCATCTCAAAAATGGAATGACGCTCATATAATAATTCAGTCTCTTTGCAAGAATTGGGGGGATGTTGCCCATGGAAAGTCTTAGCACAGTAGCCAGCGCACAGCAAATGCTCAATAAATGCTCAGTGGAGTCCTCCTTTGGATCATTCTCCCCTGTCCCAGAGAAGGAAATAGATGCTCACAGATGGTACATGACTTGCCCAAGGTCACAAAGCCAGCTCTGTGGGACTCCAGAGCCCAGAGTTACTGCTTCCACTGCCTGCTGTCCCTTGAACTGGCTCCTCCCTGGACGGCTCTCAGCTATTGCCTCTTCTCCCTGCCCACCCCCTACCTCGCCCCTCATCCCATCCTCCTATCACCCTACAAGGTGACATCACTGACATTTTCCAGCGCTTAGCAGCATATTAAGATCTTGGTTTCTGACACCAGACACAACAGGTTTGCCATTGCCTTTCTGTGGGACCCGGAACTAACTTCCTCAGCCTGAAGCCTTAGCTTACTCCTGAGAAATGGGAAATCAGAACGCCTGTTTGCAAGGGGTTGTCGCAGAGTTACACTCATGATGCTGACATTTTACTTCCCGAGAACTTATTCTGGGCCAGGCAGGGGTCTAAGTGCTTCACACAAATGAATGAACTCATTTAGTCCTTGGAACAACCCAGTGGGGGGAGACCGTTGTTATTTTGTCCCTTTTACAGATGTGGGTGGCACCTGAGGCACAGAGAGGTGAAGTAACTTGCCTTGGATCACACAGTAGCAAATGTTGGGGGCTGAATCTGGAACCCAGGCAGACGAACTCCGGAGTCAAAGGATGATATGATACTGCTCACAGCCCCCAAAGGATAGGGTGTGCAGACCCGTGGAGAAAATAATGTTTTGACATCAAGGCCAGGGATTTCCTACACCCTTGACTGTGTTTGTCTGTTTGCTTTGCTTTTTCCCATTCTAGATAACAACGAGTTCAAAATTGTTTTTGAAAGCTACCACTTCTCCTCGCTAGCTCTGAGACCTCGGGGGCCAGTCACTCCACTTCTCCGAGCCTCCATGTCCCCTTGAACAGAAGGCTCTATCTCCCTTGCTGTGTGCTTGACGCAATGAGGTCACACTCAGAAAAAGGCCGTCACAGGCCCAAGCTCTGTACAGAGGGGCTGCTGTTGTGACAATCTGAAAGCAGGCAGAGAGCGGGAGACAGGATGGGACCCTGGGACGCGGTGATCGCGCGCACTCGCTAAGCCGCCTTCCTCCCGCCTCCACCCGCCCCCTCTCTTTCCGGGCCGAGGCTCCAGCGGCAGGGGTGGGGGGCACAGCTGGCTCACCTCTGTCCTCTCCGGGCCCCAGCCCCGGCAAGAGGAAATAACAACCCACTGCAGATCCAGCCCGACTGGTCCTCAGCCCTTTGGGAGAGGCAACAAGGAGGGCGGGACCCAGACGGCGCAGGGGGACCCGCGATTGGGAGCCCCCGACCCCCTTGGGGCTCCAGTGCGCGCTTCCTGAGGCCACGTGGCTGCGGCCCAGGATTTCAGCAGCCGCAGCCGCCGTCCCTTTGGCCGGCTGTCCGGCTCCCCTCCAGACCTGACCGGGGACCCTGGGCCACCACTGCCCCGTACCTCGTGGTCCCTGCTGAGCCAGGCAGGCAAACTCTCAGGCTCCGGCTCAAGCTGGGAACCCCGTCTTCTTGGTTCGCCTCCGCCTCCCAGTCCCAGGCCCGCGCCTTCTTCCTTCTTCCTCCGGGCGGGATCTCACCTGGCAAAGGAAGTGTCACACGGAACCTGGAGGGGCATCCAGGACCCAGGCGGCCGGGCCCAGAGTGCCACCTCCTTCTCTCTTAGGTTCCAGGAGTCCTGGCTCCTAGCTCTCTTGATCCTTAGCCTCAGGAGTCCAGGCCCCCAGCCCCTCCTCCCTCAGACCCAGGAGTCCAGGTCCCCGGCCCCTCCTCCCTCAGACCCAGGGGTCCCGGCCCCCATCCCCTCCCCCCTCAGACCCAGGAGTCCAGGCCCCCATCCCCTCCCCCCTCAGACCCAGGGGTCCAGGCCCCCGGCCCCTCCCCCCTCAGACCCAGGAGTCCAGGCCCCCAGCCTCTCCCCCCTCAGACCCAGGATCCAGGCCCCCAGCCCTCCCCCCTCAGACCCAGGATCCAGGCCCCCAGCCCTCCCCCCTCAGACCCAGGAGTCCAGGTCCCCGGCCCCTCCTCCCTCAGACCCAGGAGTCTGAGCCCCAACCCGGGCAGACCCTGGCATGGAGTCCCTTCTTTACCTGCACCGGGATCTGAAGTGTCAGCCCCTCTCGGGGGCCATGGTAGGAGCCCAAAGGGGCGCAGAGTCACGCCCAGTGCAGCTCAGTCTGTCTGGGGCAGAGAGGGTTAAGGCGTAGGTCCCTCCCAGCCTTCCTTATCCCCCAAAAGTTTGCCTCTAGGATTTAAAGGACTAGGAAGTAGCGGTGGAAAAGCTGAGGCCCCTCCGGGCTGAGTGTGGGCCAGGGGAGGAGGCTGGCACTGGGTGTGCGCCCGCCCAGAGAACACGGCAGACGGGGCGGGGGATGGATGGATGGACAGGGCGGCCCCCAGCTCGGCCCCTCCCCCTGCCAGCCTGGAATTTCCTGAAACTGGGGAAGTCTGGCTGTGTAGAAGAATAATTTCTTCCAGATTGCAGCTGTTGAGGGAGTATGTGTGGGCTTGAAAGAGAGAGAGAAAAACAGACAAGGTCAGGCAGTAAGACCAGCAAAAGGATGGATGCAAAAGGATGGATGTGACCTCGGAGGGGCAGCTCTCACCCTGCTTTGGAGAGTTCCCTGGATGAATATCCCTGCCTGGAGCTACTCGTCCACAGAAAGGTCATTACATCACCGAGTGCCAGTGCCTAGCGGCGACAAGAAGAGTCAGATGTGGGTGTGAGAAAGATCCCTCGGCAGCCAGTGTGCCAGAGGGCCTGACCTGGGGGAGGTAGAGGCCCCGGGGAGGAGGCTGGCTCCGCTGTGCGCTGGGGCTGGGATGCTGGGGCCAGAGAGGGAGAGAGTTAGTTTCATAGATAACAAGGAGGTGTGGCTTGACCTGAATCTTGAAGGAGTGGGACAGAGACAAAAGGTGACAACAATCCAGGGACTTCCCTGGCGGTCCAGTGGTTAAGACTCCGTGCTTCCACTGCAGGGGGCACAGGTTCGATCCCTGGTCTAGGAACTAAGATCCTGCATGCCACGTGGCGTGGCCACAAAATAAAAGTTTTAATTATTTTCTATTGACGTTAGCTTCACATAACATAAAATGACTCATTTTAAAGTGGTATTTAGGGGACTTCCCTGGTGGCACAGTGGTTAAGATTCCACCTGCCATGGGTTCGAGCCCTGGTCCGGGAAGATTCCCACATGCTGCGGAGCATCTAAGCCCGTGCGCCACAATACGGAGCCTGCGCTCTAGAGCCCGCGAGCCACAACTACTGAGCCCACGTGCCTAGAGCCCGTGCTCCGCAACAAGAGAAGCCACGGCAACGAGAAGCCCTCACACCTCAACGAAGAGTGGCCCCTAGAGTTGGCAACTAGAGAAAGCCCGTACGCAGCAACAAAGACCCAACGCAGCCAAAAATAAATTAATTAAATAAAAAATAAATTAATTAATAAAAAATAAAGCGGCATTTAGTACATTCACAGTGTTGTGCAACCATCACCTCTATCTAGTCCCAAAACGCTTTCATCTCGTCAAAAACAAAAACAAACAAAAACAAAACAAAAAACCCTTGTACCTGTTAAGCTGTCAGCTGGGGGCTGGTCTGTTCCAAGAGGCTGCCTGCATCCTTCTGGTGTTTTCCCTGTGTCTGTCCTCTGGCAACGGTAAGTTGAGCCCCTCTTATGCTTCAGGTGTCCCTGATTTGCAGGCCTGCCCCATCTCCCTCCTCCCTCCAGCCAGAAAAGGTCCTCTGCTTTTAGGGCGCATGTGATTTGGCTCGGCCCACCTGGAAAATACAGGCGTTATACATATATCACCATCGGTAATGGATATGTATTAATATATTACCTGGTAATCAGCACAAGTTAATACAGAAGTATACATAATTTATGTCAAGGAATTGGGAGTTTGCAATGCTAAGGACTGGCAAGCCTGAATTCCATAAGGCAGACTGGAAACTCTCAGTCAGGCTAGGAGCTGACGCCTCGGTCTTTGTTTCTGGTTTGGTTTGGTTGTTGTTCTGAGCCCCGCCGCGTAGCATGCAGGATCTTAGCTCCCCAACCAGGGATCAAACCCACGCCCCCTGCATTGGAAAGGCAGAGTCTTAACCACTGGACCGCCAGGGAAGTCCCTGATGCTGTGGTCTTTAAGGCAGAATTTCTTCCCCATTTTGCAGTGAAGGCCTTTCAACTGATTGGGTGAGGCCCACCCACATTCTCGAGGGCCATCTCCTTTACCTAGAGTCAGCTGGGTATAGATGTTAGTCACACCTACATAACGCCTCCCCGGCCATACCTGGGTTAGTGTTTGGTTGAACAACCAGGTACTACAGCCTGGCCAAGCGGACAAGTAAAATGAACCATCACGCCAGGATAATCTCCCCGTCTTAAGGTTTCTAACTTTAATCTTGTGTGCAAAGTCCCTTTGCTACATGACACGACATATTCATCGGTTTCAGGGATTCATGCCTGGATATCTTTAGAGGTGCATTCTGTCTACCCCAAGGACCCTCAGAGGGCAGATCCCGGGGGATGGTGGCGTGGCCACCAAGCTGGAGAGCCTGGGAGGAGGAACAGGTATACAAGAGATGCTAGAGGCCATGCCCAGAAGAAAGGAAAGCAGGATCGGCTGCACGGGCAAGCGACCTGTGCAGTCTTGGGGGTCGCCATGCCTAGAAGGGCCCTCTGCACTTGGTTTCATGGTTTGCTCTATCTTCACATTATTAATCATTTTGAACAAGGGACCCCACATTTTCATTTGCAATGCACCCCGCAAATGAGGTAGCTGGTTCTGGGCTGAAGTGCAGGAAGAGCAGGGTTCTGGGATGAAGCAGCTGAGAAGGGTGACATTGAGAGATAAGAAAAGGGGAAGGAACTTGGACCAGGGCCGGGCAGCAGCCAGAGAAAGTGAAGGAGGAGGAGAGAGACGGGCTGCAGAAGCCCTGGAAGGATGCACAGGTCCCCTCTCTGCAGTCTCAGTCTGATTTAAAAAAAAAAAAAAAAAAGATCCACTGGATTTAATAGCAAGCCAGAGGTGACCGGTGGCCAGAGTGAGAACTGCCCATGGGGGCTGGGCAGGCGCAAGCCAGACTGTGGCTGGGGAGGCGAGGGAGAAAGTGAGGAGATGAAAAAGCGCAGAGGACTTGGGAGTCTGCTGTGAAAGAAAGGAGAGCAAGACAGGACGGATATCCGGGGGGAGAGGGAGGGCTCAGAGAAGGAGTTTGGTTTCTTTGCTCGGTTTGGATACATTTCCTGCTATTTTGTTTCTTTTTTGAAAAAGTAATTTTTAGTTACATAAAGGATATCCTCCTTGTAAAGAGAGAGAGGAAAATAACCCTAACTAATAAGGTTTTTTTTTTTTACATAGACATTTTTTTAACATCTTTATTGGAGTATAATTGCTTTACAATGGTGTGTTAGTTTCTGCTTTATAACAAAGTGAATCAGCTATACATATACATATATCCCCATATCTCCTCCCTCTTGCATCTCCCACCCTCCCTATCCCACCCCTCTAGGTGGTCACAAAGCACCGAGCTGATCTCCCTGTGCTATGCGGCTGCTTCCCACTAGCGATCTGTTTTACGTTTGGTAGTGTATGTATGTCCGTGCCGCTCTCTCTCTTTGTCCCAGCTTACCCTTCCCCTTCCCCGTGTCCTCAAGTCCATTCTCTAGTAGGTCTGTGTCTTTATTCCCGTCCTGCCCCTAGGTTCTTCATGAACATTTTTTTTTTAGATTCCATATAAATATGTTTTAGCATACGGTATTTGTTTTTCTCTTTCTGACTTAACTTTTGATGACCTTGTCCAATCCAAGCCCCATGAAATTAGTTTGCAGTATCCACTTTCCAACTGGGCTGGGCTCTTACAAACACACAGACCAGCGTTTCTGCACCTCGGAGCTCTTGGCATTTGGGGCTGGATCGTTCTTTGTGGTGGGAGTACCCTGTGCACTGTGGGATGTTCAGCAGCGTCCCAAGGCTCCACCCACTAGATGCCAGTAGCTTCCCCCTCCCCAGGATTTAGACGGCCAGCATTGCTTCCAAATGGCCCCTGGAGGGGGGATATTGCCCCTGGTTGAGAACAGCTGATCAACATGGTGCTCTAAGAAAACACATATTAAACACACATTTTAAACACACAAAGGAACTTTTACTGGATGGTTTTGGGCTACCACTTTTTTCCCACTTAGCAGTTTCTTTTGGGACTCATTCATTGCTACTACATACAGACTTAAAGAGGGGGCTTGAGCTTACTTCAGCATTTTGAAGAAAGTATATAACAACAATAATAGCAGCTAACATTTATCAAGGGCTTAGAATTTTTTAGGAGCTGTTCTAAGCTCTTTCCACATGTAACCTTAATCTTTGCAATAACTCTATGGGCGGGAGGAGGTTGGTATTATTATTCCCACTTTACAGATGGAAAAACTGAGGCACAGAGAGGGTTTTTTGGTTTGTCTCTTAACTTTTAGGTAACTTAGCTAATGCAGCCCTAAAGTTGCGCAGGCAGGATTTGAACTCAGGCAGGCTGACCCTGACTCAGAAGGAGAGATGGAAGATATAGGAGAGGTAGGTTCTATAAAGGACAGGACCCCCAGGAGCAGGGAAGAAAAGGGTCTGTCCAACAGAACTTTCTGGAATGATGGGACTGTCCAGTACAGTAGCCACATGTGGCTGTTGGGCACTTGAGATGTAGCTAGTGGGGCTGAGAAAGTGAAATTTTAATTGTATTTAATTTTCATTGATTCTACATGGAAATAGCCACTGGGGGCCAGTGGTCCAGGTACTGGGTAGCCCATGTCTAGAGCACTTGAGGAGGGTTTAGCCCAGGGCAGCGGGGGCTGCCTCTTGAAGGAGCAGGTGGAAGGATAGAGGGGTGACTGCAGCCTGGGTCAGTGTACAGGTGCGGCGGTGCTTCGGGGGCTCTACTCCACTGGCCTGGATCTGGGTGAGGCAGAGGCAGGGGTGGAGGAGGTGAGGCGTTCAGCTGTGCTGGGAAGGGAGGGGAAGCTGGTTCAGATCTGAGCCCCAGACGAACTGCAGGACAAGTCTACTGAACACTTGCTGTGTGCGGGCTCTGTTTGAAGCACTCCATCTTATTACCTCATTTAGTCCTCATATCAACCTATGAGGCAGGTGCTGTTATTATGTCCATTGAGCAGATGAGGAAACTGAGTCAGCATGGCAGGGTCTCTACCAAAGGCCACGGAGAGCAGAGACCATAAGCAAGGTGACCTGTGCGCACAGTTTGGGAATTTCCCCAGCTTCTCAGGAGTGGGCAGAGGATGCTGAGCGGGGAGTGGCCCAGGGTTCGGGTTTTCCCATCAGGAAGTATTTCCAACAACCCAAAGGACTTTGAAAGAGCCTCATCTAGATGCAGCAGGAGAGAGGAGGAAGCCAGAGAGGGTAGGGACAGATGGGGTGAGAGAGAGAGAGCAAGGGAGGGAGGGAGACAGAGAGACAGATGACTTCCCTGGCGGTTCAGTGGTTAAGACTCCATGCTTCCACTCCAGGGGGCGAGGGTTCGATCCTTGGTCAGGGAACTGAGATCCTGCAAGTCATGCAGTGTGGCCAAAAAGAAAAAAAAAAAAAAGAAGAAGAGCTGGAGACAGGATCTGTGCCAACAGAGGGAGCCCTGGGAGTGCAGCCAGTCTGGTGTGAGCTCTGTCTCGAGCTCCCTCCTCCTTCCAGCTGAGCTGGCTCCCAATGCATCCTCCCCCCCACCCCCCAGCACACACAGCTTGGAAGGAGTTTTCTTTCTTTCCTTGGTTTGGATACATTCGCTGCTATTTTTGCCTCTTCTTTTGTAAAGTAATTTTTAGTTACATAAATGATACCTGAATACGTCCTCCTTGTAAAGAGAGAAAGGAAAGATTTTTTCTTTTTTCTTTTTTTTGGCCACACCTCACGGTTTATGGGATCTTCGTCTCCAACCAGGGATTGAATCTGGGCACTCGGCAGTGAGAGCACGGAGTCCTAACCACTGGACCTACAGGGAATTCCGCCCCCCGCCCCTTGTAAAGAGAGAAAGGAAAATAACCCTAACTAATAAGGTTTTAATGACCTCATCCCATCCAAGCCCCATAAAATTAGTTTGCAGTATCCACCTTCCAACTGGGCTGGGATCTTACAAACACATAGACCAGCGTTTCTGCACCTCGGAGCTATTGGCGTTAGGGGCTGAATCATTCTTTGTGGTGGGAGGGTTGTGAGCCATCCTGTGCACTGTGGGGTGTTCCCAAGGCCCCACCAACTAGATGCCAGTAGCTCCCCCCTCCCCATGGTCTGGACAACCAACAATGTTTCCAAAGGACCATCTGCAGTTCCCTCCCCCTCTGGTTACAACCCCAGCAGGAATAGTTCCTGGGATCCTTTGCAGGTTCTGTGAAGGAAATGAGTATCCTGGCACAACTGGCAAAGTTGAGGAAATAGGGAAGGGCCAGGAGATAATTGCTGCAAACTCCTGGCCAAAGTACCACGAGCCTCGGTCTTCCACCTGAGGGTGGGTCGGGGATTCCTAAGGTCCTTCCTGCCCTTCTGCTAAATGTGGGCAGGCGGGAATGTGACCAAAGCCTGTGCACTGGTGTCAGCCAGCCTTGGCTTGGAGCTCTTGCCTGTGTGACCACAGCAAGCCACTTTTCAACTTGTAGCTTTAGTTTCTTCATCCGTGTCAGAGGTCCAAGGACCCTCACAGAAATCCTAACAATAATTCATAAAAGCAGCTATCATTACCAAACCGAAGTGGTTTGCCAGGCTGTGTCTAGGCACGTGATGGTGACGGTAATA